GCCATGTCCTGGGCCCTGCTCCTCGGGCTCCTGGCCGCGCTGCTGCTCCTGCTGCTGCTGAGCCGTCGACGCTCGCGGTGAGTGCCCTCGCCCCCCGCCCGGACAGAGGGGCGACCCCCCCGGCGTCCCGAGCCGCTCGTCCCTCCCCCACCGGCCGGCCCCTCGGGGCGAAGGGGCTCGACGCCCATCCGCCGCCCCACCCCGGGGGGAGGACGACGGCCAGGCCGCCGGGGTGGGTGGGGGGGGGGGCGGGTGGAGGCCCGGGAAGTGGGCGACGGGGCTGGGGGACCCGGCAGACAGCCCCCGGTGCACACGCGCTCGGCTGGCACCTGCGAAGGGCTTTGTGGAGAGGGTCTCCGGGTGGGTGCGAGAAGCACCCTCCTGGATCCAGCACCTACTTGAGCCAGTCCCCAGGCTTTCTCGGTTCCTGGGGGGTGGCCTTGATCCTCACCCCATTACACAGATGGGCGAGTTGAGGCTGGGGAATGCAGAGCCCTGGAACCACTTTCCATGGGAGGCCTCCCTCCCCCACCTGGACGAGGGGGTTGGGGAAACTCGGATCTCCCAATGCTCTGGTCCAGAAAAGGGGTCTCCCTTCCCCTGAGACCCCACAGCCTGGGCAGGGTAGATAGAACCCGCGCCAAACTTCTCAGCTTCCTAGTCCCAAAGGTTGTCCTGCTCCACTGAGAATCTGTGATTTAGGAGGAGTAAATCTCATACACTTGAAATCAGTGCTGTGGCAGTGAGTCCTTTTTTTACAAAGTTAATTTAAAAAGTTAATCTGAGTTACACATGGGATAGCTGAACGTATTTGACTTAAATATTTATCCCGTTATAGATAAGACTGAAGCCCTGCCCTTCCCTTCCCTTCCCTTCCGGCAATTCCAGACTTTTCTTGTTGATCAAGGCTACCATAGCGCGGCCAGAGCAAGGCTGGCGGGGAACCTTCCAGATTTTTTAAAAAGTATGCCTTTTATTTGAGACTGGTTTTATATTTGGAAGAAAGTTGCAAAGGTTGTACAAAGAGTTCCCAAAGACCCCCTCATCCAGTTTCCAAAGGCCTCCCCATCCAGTTTCCGCCATTGTTAACATTTAACATTATCGTGGTACGTTCGTCAAAACTAAAAAGCCAACACTGGTCTGTTAAGATGAGCCAAACTCCAGACTTCATTTGTATTTCATCAGCTTTTCCATCATGTGCTCGCCTTCCGTGATCCCTCTTCGGTGAGGTTGTAGGTAATACAGGGCACTGTGTGTGTGTGTGTGTGTGTGTGTGTGTGTGTGTGTGTTTGTGTGAGTGTGTGAAATGAGAGTGTCTGCAAATTCCAGAACTTTTCTGGAAACTTTTTATTTTTAAACAAGAGGTTAGTTCAACTTCCAAACAATAACCTCGTGATCTTTTTCTTTAACCTCCAGACACCTTCCCAGGTTAAATTTAAAACTATGTATTCGTTCATTTGCCTGAAAAAAATGAGGAAGAAAGAGGAAAAGTCCGCAAATAAGTTCTTCTGTGAAGAAATGAATTAGTCTTCCAAAGTTGTTAGGCTTTTGGGGGAGACTCTGTCCAGGGATGTTTTCGGATCGCACATTTGCTTTTTTCACTGCGGGTTTTAGTTTTGATGTCCGTCCGTGTTGCTGCGTGGAGATCTGATTCATTCTTTTGATCGTCTGTGTAGTATTCCATGTTATGAATGAATGGCAAGTTTATTTTTTCCCTTTTTATTCCTGTCTCAACTGATGGACCCTTAGGCTGTCTCCAGCGTTTTGGCTATTTCAGACAATGTGCTGTGGTCTTCCTGTGAGGCCTCCTGCTCTGTGTTCCCCCCGCCCCAGCCGATGTGGTTGGCTATAAGCTACGTGGGTTCTGGGAAGCAGGGTCCCTGGGTGCTCAGCGTGTGGAAACTCTCAGCCTCTACGAATAAGAACAAATTGGGTAACCGCTCTCTGCCTTAGTGTCTCAATCTTTAAAATGGGGATGCTGATGAGAATGGTAGTTGAGAATGGAACTTCTGGGTTAGAAGAAAAGCCAGTTAAACATTATTTTAGCAAATTCTTGCTGTAATCCAGAGAGCTAATTTATCTTTGAGGGTGAGTCGTTGATTTGTACACCTGGTGGCTTAGGAGGGTCAACAGTGGGTCCTAGGTAGAAGTATGGGTTTGGGGTCACTGAGCTCAGGGGCAGTTAGTTGGGTGGACCCTGGGGAGACCCCACAGGCACCCCAGTTTAGGTCCCAATCTCATTTTCTTCTCCTCCCATCTCAGCAAGGGGCACTCTTGTTACTCCCATTTTACAAAGGAGGAAACTGAGTCTCAGAGAAGCTAAGCAACTTGTGCAGGATCTGCCTGGATTACGCATCTGGGCTATAGGGGTTTGTAATTCCCAGGAAAAATGAATTTCCATGCTTCCCACACATTTTACTTTTAATCTGAACGCTCAAAAGTCTTAGAACCACATGATGGTAAGATAGTAAGTTGCGGCTACTCCCAGATTCTTTTTGTTTAATGTTTATTTATTTATTTATTTTGGGGAGAGAGAGAGAGAGAGAGAGAGTAGGGGAGGGGCAGAGAGAGAGGGAGACAGAGAATCTAAAGCAGGATCCCCACTGTCAACACAGAACCCAATGTGGGGCTTGAACTCATGAACCGTGAGATCATGACCTGAGCTGAAGTCAGATGCTTAACCACTGAGCTACCCAGGCGCCCCCAGAAGATTCTTAAGGACAAATAATCAAGTGTTGGAAAAAGAGGTGGATGATGCTGATGCTGTGTAGACAATGAATCAAACCAGCAAGACCCCACACCTTCCTTTCTCCTCACTGACCCTTGAGGTAATGTTCATCACCCTATTTTACAGCTGAGGCCTAGAAGGGCTAAGCGACCTCCTTAGGGCCACACTGAAATTATATTCCCCATCCAGTCAGTTCCAAAACTCATGCTTTTCTCAGTAAAAAGAAAAAAAAAAAAAAAAAAAAGGGAACTTCAGTCAGTCAGCAACTGTCTTTACCTCTAGCTTTTTTTTTTAAGTTAAAATTTTTAATGATGAAAAACTTCAACTATACAGAAAAAGAATAGTATAAGAACTCCCATGTAACCATCCCCTTATTTGATGGTTAACATTTTTACAAAAAATTACAGATCAGGGTGCCTGAGTGGCTCAGTCGGTTGAGCGTCTGACTCTTGATTTTGGCTCAGGTCATGATCCCAGGGTCATGAGATTGAGCCCCTCATCAGGCTCCACACTGAGCATGGATCCTGCTTAATAAGGTTTTCATTCTCTCTCTCTCTCTCTCTCTCTCTCTCTGCCCCTCTCCCCCACTCTCATGCTCTCTCCCAAATTAAAAAAAAATTTTTTTTAATTCCAGATGTTACAATATCTCTCCAGAAAATATTTCAGAATGCATGTCAAAAAAAAAAAAAATGACAACCACAATTCTCTTATCCTGCCTCAGAATACAAAAATGATTAATATTGTGTAATCTCCAGTCCAAATTCCAATTTTGGCAATTACAGCCAAGATTTTTAAACGCACCTGGGTGACCGTGAGTGTTTTCTCTTGGGAGAGGTTGTAAGCTGGAATTAGGAGTCTGACTTCTGTGCCACTGGGGCTGATGACCTGCATGTGGCTGTCAGAAACCTCCTTCCTGCTGTCCTTTTGGGCCTTGGTTTGTCCACCAAGTCTCGCGTAGCCGATCTCCCGTGCCCTGGCCACCCCACCGGGCTGCGTGTGTCTCTTTTCCTCTTTGGGCTTGTGCGTCTGGTCTAGAGAGCCTTGGAAGAACACTCCAGGTGTGGGGAGGTCACTGTGGCATCAGGTGACGGTTCCCGGTGGCTCAAGAAAAGATCTGGGCCCTTGCAGGGTACGGAGTTTCTGGGCACAGAAAATGTGCCTTGTTCCAACCCGCACTGACCAGAGGCCACCAAGTGGTGGCCCAAGGTTGGATGAAGCCCAGATGGGTGTGCTGTGTGCCACACACGGCGAGAGGAGAAAATTAGGGTGTTCCACGTGCGAAGCACCAGGTCTCCAGCTTCTGCAAAATGCGACAATGGGCCATCCCTTGCTGGGGACTCCCTAGGAGAGCCCTCTCTCAGCCTTGCTGCCGTCCCCACCCCTCCTGTTGTCTCTCCAGTTTGCATCTGTTCTGTCACTCTGCTTGCCCTAACCATTGTCCTATGACGTTGAGAATTCTCCGAACCTTCTGTGTCAGTTACAAAAACAGGAAAACAAAAACTAGAGCAAAGTGGCCGCCTGCTGCGTCTACGAAGCGGGAGGCAAGGAGTGGGGGAGGGGAAGAGGGTTCATGGCCGACAGCTTGTGGGTGAACCCTGGGGAGGAATAGACGCTCAGGTTGCTGAAACCCTGCGGTCCCCCCCTATGCATCCTCCCAGAGCCTGAGGCCCTGAGCTGAGTTGAGTTGAGTGAGGCAATCCACTAACACGGCACAGCTAAATGATGCCGCTTCTGCTCGAACCAGAATGTGGACTGTGTGTATCGGGCACTTAACCTGCATTGGGTCCCTTGACCCCTTTGGCAGACTCTGGCGGGTGGGGGGAGGCGCAGGTGCTGCTCTCTGAGCACCACCTGTATACGCAAATCATTCATCTGACACATATTTATTAAACGCCTTCTCTGTGCCAGGCACTGTTGTTAAGTGTTGGGGGTCAAGTGCCTATATTCGTGGAACTTCCGTCCAGTGTGGGTGTGAAAGCTGGGTGCTGCCCATCCTTAACCCTCTCCCCCACTTTGCAGAGGGTTGAGCTCGAGAGAGAGGCCAGGTGGCAAGGTTGGCCATGGAGTCTGTGAGTGGCGAGTGGGCAGTTTGGGGAGGGGCCCATGTGACGGGAAGTGGGGAATCAGAAAAGGTGTCTTGGCATCTGAAACCGGAGGGACAGGCTGTGTGGGCAGGAGCCGGGGATGAGGGGGTCCAGCCCTACCTCCCTCCTCTCCCAGGGCCTGGCCGTATCTCAAAACAGTGAGGGTGTCCGTGGGCGAGGCTGGAGACCGCAGACCCCAAAATAGAGTCTCCTTCATCCCTGCTGGCTGACGGCTGAGTCACCCTGGAATGTGGCCTGGGCCCGAGCTGGATGCAGGGCCGAGGATCCAAGAGCCAGCCGGCTACATCGGCTACATCGCGCGGGTCAGACTCCTGGGCTCCCAGCTTCCTGCCTTTGTCTGAGCCTCCTTGGGACTTTTCTGGGGAAAGATGAAAGCTGCCAGAAATAACACCTGGCTCACTGGGGAGCTCTGGCCGCAGCCTGGACAAAGAGCAGGGAAAGGAAGCCATAGCCCCTGCTCATACCCGCAAAGGTGTCTTAGAGGAAGAAGCCCCCCGTCCTGGGAGCGGGGGAGTCGGATGCTAGCTTCACCTCCACTTCCGTTGTCACGCTCCTGGACGATCTGTGTTGTGACTTTTTAAAAGCATAACCACATCACTTTCCAGCCCCCCCTTCCAACCCTCCGGGGGCTCCCCATCATATTGGGCATGGAAACCTGACCCTGGCTGCAGGTCAAATCCTGCCTCTCACCCCTACAGTCCACTCCAGCTACACTAGTGCCTGCTGTCTGGCAAGCCCCCCACCCCAGGGCCCTTGCACTCGCTGTTCCCACTGCCTAAATTCCTTCTCTCCCCACTCTGGCGCTCCACTCCCTTCTCATCCTGCTGGTCTTTGCTCACATGGCACCTCCACAGGGAGGCCCTCCCTGACCAGCCCTTGTCACCTAGCTCTCTTTTTTCTTTGCTGAGATATAATTCACACACTATAACATTTACCATTTAAAAAAATTTCCTAAATGTTTGTTTATTTTTGAGAGAGAGAGGCAGAGCACAAGTAGGGGAGGGGCAGACAGACAGGGAGATACAGAATCTGAGGCAGGCTCCGGGCTCTGAGCTGTCAGCACAGAGCCTGATGCAGGGCTCGAACTCATGAACCGTGAGATCATGACCTGAGCCGAAGTCAGATGGTTAACCGACTGAGCCACTCAGGTGCCCCTACATTTACCATTTTAAAGTATACAATTCAGGGGCACCTGGGTGGCTCAGTCAGTTAAGTGTCCGACTTCAGCTCAGGTCAGGATCTTGCAGTTGGTAGGTTTGAGGCCCACATCAGGCTCTGTGCTGACAGCTCAGAGCCTGGAGCCTGCTTTGCATTTTGTGTGTCTCTCTCTCTCTGCCCCCGCCACTCTCTCTCTCTCTGTCTCTCAGAAATAAATAAACATTAAAAAAAATAAAGTATGCAATCAGTGCTTTTCAGAGTATGTGTAGGGTTGTGCCGCCCTCACCACTGCCTAACTCCAGAATATTTTTTGTCATTCCCCAAAAGAAGCCTGGAAACCTGTCTCCATAAGCAGTCCCTCCGTATTCTCCCTCGAGCTCTGGCAACCACTAATCTACTTTCTGCCCCTCTGGATGTGCCTTTTCTGGACATTGCATAGAAGTCGATCACCCAAGAGGTGACCTCTGTGTCTGGCTTCTTTCACTCGGCATAATGGTTTTAAAGTTCTTCCACACTGTGGCATGAATCAGTCATTCCTTTCTATGGCTCAATAATGTCCCACGGCATGAACATACCGTATTTTGTGTGTCCACTCATCAGTCAGCATCCTTTGGCCACTGTGAACAGCAGCGTGCAGGTTTATATGAACTTACGTTTTCAGCTCTTTGGGGTATGTTTATGTTGCTGGGTTGTGTGGTAACTCTGTTAGCCTTTCAGGGACCTGCCAGGCTGGTTTCCACACGAGCTGCACCGTTTACATTCCCACCAGAACTATATGCGGATCCCCATTTCTCCACATCTTTGCCAACAGTGACTATTTCTTTTTTTAGAGGAGAGCCATCTCCGTGTGAAATGGTGCCACACTGTGGCTTTGATTTGTATTTTTTCCCCAGTGCCTCACCATGTCGGGCGTCTTTTCATCTGTTCACCGGCCATTTGTGCATCTCCGTCAGAGAACTGTCCATTCACATCCTTCGTGCATTTAAAAATCGGGTTATTTGTCTTTTCATCGTTCACTCGTAGCTCCTTTGTTTTCTTTATCACGCTTGTCACTCTCTGAAATGATTTTGCTTTTTTTTTTTTTTTTTTTTGCTTTTGTCTGCTTTCCCCTTATTAGTATGTAAGCCCCATGAAGCCAGGCACCTTGCCTGTCCCGTTCACTGCTGTAACCCCAGCACGTGGAGCAGTGCCTGCTTCCTAGTTACTATTCGGTGAGCGAGTGAGAAGAGAAGGGATGGCTTACTATTCACCAGACAGGGAGCTCTCTGCATGCCTGTGGTTCGGATCATTCTACGACAAAGATAGGGGTCCTAGCCTGGGTTTAAGGCCTCCCAGGGGTCCACCATGAGCAGTGGTCTTGCTATTTGAGGCCCACTTCGTGATCATGATTAGCTCTCCCTAGCGAACAGCCCCTCCCCCAGAGGATGGTGGGGCAGGGACAGCCAGGAGTCAGTGATGAGGACGGTCCTTCTGCTACCCTTTGCCACTCGATCACTCGACCGTGTCTCCAGTCTCATCCTTTCTCTGTGGGCATGGCAGTGGGTGTGAGATGACCAAAGCCCTGTCCACGCTGGCTCAGGCAGAGAACTCTGTGTCCTTGTACTTCTGGGTTCTAGAAAGCTCTCCCACCCACAGGGAAAGCCCACCTCGATTGGATTCCCTAAGATGTACCAACATCAACTGGTCACCCAGCTTCTCCTCTTGGCCCCCTGCAGTTCCCTCCTCTACTCAGCCGCCAAAAGGATCCTGTAAAAACTTAAGTCAAATCATGTCCCTGTGCAACTCAAAGCTCTCCCATGGCTCCCACCTCATGCAGGGAAAAAGTTAAAAGTCCTCACAGCTGCCTCCAAGGCTCTGCATGGTCTGACACCTGTTCCTGCTCTGGCCTCAACGTCTCCTGTTCTCCTTGGTCCCTCCACTCCAGCCATACTGGCCTCCTTACTGTTCGTGGAACACGCCAGGCATGGTCCAGCCTTAGGGCCTTTGCACTTGTTACTTCTGCCTGGCAGCGTCTTCTTCCAGATATCTATGTGGCTCCTTCCTTCACCACCTTCAGGTCTTTCTCCAATGTCCCAGGGAAGCCTTCTCTGCCCTCTCCGCTGAAAAGTCACACCCCATGCCCTACACTCTTTTTCTTCTTCCCTACTTTATCAAATAGTGATAAGTACTGTGGCTTCTGCAGGCGACCTGGTGAGCCTCCTCTGGACGTGGGCAGTATCCCGTGGTTGGGCCATGCCTTGGAATTTGGAAAAGATGCTGCCAGCTTCCTCACCAGGATGAAGGAGAAGCACGGTGATATATTTACTGTAAGTGCCTCATGTGCGTCGAGGGAGGGAAGGGGGTGAGCAGGTGGGCCTGTCGTCTGGTGTTCACTGATTCCTTCTATATCCTTCCATACCCTAACCTACCATCCAGTGGTCTTGCCAATTTTCCATCCATTTTCCCATCCAACTGTACAGCCAACACTTAGTAACATCCATTCCTTCTTCCCAGCATCAAGTGATGCAGTCATTCAGTGTCTATGAAGTTCTTGTTCGTCCTTCCAACTGACCTCTATCCATCCACTCAACTTCCATCCATCCATCCATCCATCCGTCCATCCATCCATCAACATCCAAACAGCCACCACACCCATCCACCTTCAGGCATCCTTTTGGGTTCCACCCATCCAACGCTCATCCTTCGGTCCTTTTCCCCGGTACCCACTGAGCCTGCTGCCACCATGTTCCCAACATGCATCCACACTTTCAGCTTCCATCTAACCTCCTCATCCATTCATCTTTCCATCCAACATACATTCACTGATATCCTTCCATTTACCCAACAATCCATCCAGTAGCATTTCTTCTTGGATTTTGGCCTACATTTTGTAAGAGAGTTTGAGTAACATGACTCCCAGATCACACTTTGGAAACAGGGCCAAGGCAGTTGCGTGGGTGTTTAGAATTGTGTGGCCACTCCCCCACACAGACATTTGAGGGAAAATCCCCTTTCCTTTGTTACTTCCAGGATTACAGCTCTTTCTCTTTTCCTTACCTTCTTGGGCAGCAGGTTACATTCAGGGCTCGGCCTCCCAAAGAAGTGGGTATTTCTGGCACATTCGCTAGCATTTATCCAACAGCATCCACTCATCTATCCACCTGTTCTATCCAGTCTCTCCACCCATGATACGCACAACACCCATTTGCTGCCTTCTGTGGGCAGACTCTCTTCCGGATGCTGAAGATACGACAGTAACCAAGATAATGATGGCAGGTGCTGAAGAGTGAGGTGGTTGAGAGCCTGACGTTTGCTACCGAAAAATGCTGAGTGCCAGTCCTTTCTCTACTGTGTCTCAGCTGTGTGATCTTGAGCAATCCCCTGCCTTCTGTCAGCCTCAGTTTTCGGCTCTAAGTGGTCCCCACGTCACAGACAGTCGTGAGGAGTGGATGGGAGAACACTGTCTGTGAAATGTCAGGTCCTGGCACAGGGTAGGCCCCTGACCACTGAGAGCTCCTCCTTGATGGCATTTCTCCTCGCCTTGTCCCTGCTGACTTCCCACAGGTGCTGGTGGGGGGCAGGTATGTCACTGTCCTCCTGGACCCCCACTCCTATGACACGGTGGTGTGGGAGCCTCGCACCAAGCTGGACTTCCACGCCTATGCTGTCTTCCTCATGGAGAGGATTTTTGACTTGCAGCTCCCACATTACAGCCCCAGTGATGAAAAGGCCAAGATGAAACCGTGAGTGGCTCAAGGTGGCCCCTGTGGGTGGGCGGGGGAGGGCGTGGTCTGCTTCTGCCTGCATAGCCCAGGTGCTGAGTGGCTTGAGTTTGTGTCCACACCAGGTATCCGGTCAAGACATTTGTTTTGAGAAGACAGACACAAAGGAAACCAAACAAACAAACAAAAAAAAACAGCCCCAAAGAATTAGGCTGAAGAAAGCCTCTTCTCATCTTTACTTCTTTTAGGAGACAGGTCTGATTTCAGTAGGAGGAGGCCAGGGTTTGGGTCAGCCAGACCGAGAGTCAAATCCCAGCTCCCCCACTTCCTAGCTGTGTGACTTGGGGCAAATCCCTTGCCCTCTCTGGGCCTCTGTTTCCTTGTGTGAAAGGAAGGGAGGTGGGCAGGGGGGCTAATAGTTTCGAGCCCATCCTCTGTGGTCTCATTAGTCTTCATGACAATGCTGGAGGGTGAGTAACTTACAGCCCCACTTTATGGATGAGGACACTGGGGCTCGGAGAAGACTTGCCCGAGGTCACACAGCGAGGAAGTGATGTAGGTCCTGAAACATAAGGAATAATTATATCAACATGAGGACGTGTGGGCACATGTACTCTGCGTTCATTACTTCTGCAAATATCTGAGGACTTTCTATACACTGGTCTAGATGCAGGGGGCCCAGCATGATGCCAACCACAATTTGAAGATGCCAGTCATGTGCCGGGTGTTTGATAGGAACACTTACATCTCTGTGCAATCCATCTACCTCAAGAGGTAGATATTTTTATCCTCGTTTTACAGGTGAGGAAACATACTCAGGAGTGAAGTGACGTGCGTGTTCCATCACTGGTAAATGGCACAGCTGAGATTTGAACCCAGGTCTGCAGACTCCAGCTGAGATGCTGAGGAAATAAGACAGTGTGTGCATCCCTAGAGTTCGTGCAGTCTGACAGGAATCCTTAGTGATCTGTCTCCAGGAAGGGTGGCCTCCTGGGGTTAGGAAAAGTCTCTAGAAGACTGGGTTTTGCAGGGCTGCTAAAGCTGAGGAAAGGCCAGAGTATGAGGTGAATGCTGATTAGAGGAAGTACCCAGTCTGAACTTGGCTCTGTGGGATGGCCGCTAGGAGATTTCTGAGCCCAAGTGTCCTAGGTCCTGGCATTCTAGGGGGACCATTGGGTCCCATTAGCAATAAGATTCCTCGGTTCGCTGCATTCTACCCTGCTACCCAAAGAGGACCCCACTTTTCTCCAGTGTCTGCCCTAAGAGTTTCTGGAAGTTTCTCCTAAGCCCGCATGTTGTCTACTGGGCGTGGCTCCTGCATCTGCTAAGGGCTACTGTCTCCATCAAGTGCTTGGAGTGGGGTCTAGGGAACAGCTAGATCAGGGTCACTCAGGATTGTGTCCTACCTGGCAATCATTGGTCAGGGGACAGTTTATCCAAACAGGTGTGCCTAACTTTGGGTCTCAAGGAGGAAGGGTCGGCCTGCTGTTTCTCTCTCTTCCAGACGTCTTTGGGTTCCTTATCCAAGCTTGTGTGCCCCAAGGAGGGGCAGACTGTCACGGTTAGGAATTCAAGACTCTGTGGCTGGGTGACCTTGGGAAAGTCACATTCCTCTCTTGTCCCTGAGTTTCTCTGTCTGTAAAATGGGTGTCATAACAGCAACTGTGATTCCCTAGAGTTGTCAAAAGATGAAACAGGATCATGGTGCTTAGCACCGTGAAGAGTAACTGTCACTGTCATTGATGATGATATTAATAGTAATACCATCGTGGCTAAGCCAGTTGTCCGCAGGCCCCCGTTGCCAGCGGGGCCCTGGGGCCCTGGGACCCTGAGCTTTGGGAATAGCGGTGCCTGTGTGCATACGTTTCCCGCTGGAAGCTGTGCTCTTACTTTGTTTCCTGCCCCAGGACTCTCCTCCACAAGGACCTCCAGGCACTCACGGAAGCCATGTACACCAACCTCCGCACTGTCCTGCTGGGGGACGCCACAGAAGCGGGCGGTGGCTGGCATGAGATGGGTCTCCTCGACTTCTCCTACAACTTCCTGCTCAGGTGAGCCGGTGCGGCTCCCCTCGTTGGGAGTGGAGCCCAGCACTCTGCACCCGGGTCAGCCGTTAATAGTGGCCACGGGAACCATGAAGACTTTGTGGGTGGGGAAGCAGTTTGGGACACTCAGAAGCAAAGACTGCAAGATGACCTTTCGTGTCTGGACCCCAGGCGTGCACCTGGCTCAGGCTGTGAGTCGTAAAGGAGGCACAAGTCAGGAAAAGGGGCCTTGCCAGCTGTCCAGAGAGGGAGTAGCAAAACAAGGTTTCAGAGACCATCTTTTCCTGTGGTTTCCAAACCTTAGACGTCACAGGACCAGGAAAACAAAACGTTCGGGAGGCCAACCCAGGACTTCAACTTTTTATCAGAACTTGTAAACTTATAGTAAAAACTGCACTAACGTTCCTTCCTTCAGGAGGCCCAGACAGTATTCCAGGCACTGGACGTACAGCAGGGGAAAGACAGACAACAGACTGAAACGCACCGGGCTGACGCTCGTTGGAGAGACCGATAATACACCAGTAAATAAAGACAGTTATGTCAGAGAGTGACAAATACAGACAACGGAGATCCGCAGATGGGTTGATTGTGTGTGGGGAGCTCTCTGAACCAGGCTGAAAGTAAGGGCTTCTCTGCGGGTCTGGCCTCAGAGTTGGGAGCTGGCCACAAGTAGGCGGTAGGACCAGCAGGTGCAGAGTCGCGGAGGTAGGAGGAAGCTTGGGCGGCGGGCCACTGTGGCTGACCGCAGCGAACCCAGGCAGTGGGGTTAAGATGAGTCAGAGCACTTGCAGAAACCGAGTCTCACAGAGCCCCGAGGCCGTGAAGGGCTTTGGAATACATTCTCAGTAAAAAGAGTGGGGGGGGGGGGGGGGGGGGGAGGGTTAAGCAGGGGCCTGACGTGATTGGACTTGGGCTTCACAGCTCTCTCTGGTGTGTGGCAGGAGAGGCAGGAGGGCCCGTTGGGAGGCTGTTATAGTCACCCAGGTGAGAGACCGGGAGCCTGGACCCAGAGGTGACGGGGAGATGGCAACAATGGGGTATTTCTGGGGGACAGAGCTGACGGGACCTGCTGAGGATTTGATTGGGGCCATGGGGGGGAGGGGAGCGGGGGTGCAGGCTGTGAGTGGGGAGAGGAATAAGGACAGCCCGCTGATTGCTGCTGGTGCCGCTAGCTGACCAGCATTTCATAAACCAAAGCTCATTTCAGCTACTTCAAAAAAATTGGAGACACAGTTTCAGAATAAAGGAGAGGCATTTGCTGCCACATATGGGGACCCAGGCACGTTTGGGACAGCTATGTATGTGCACGCAGTGTGGGCTCAAGGGGTGTAAACGCATTTCACTCTCACAATCCCTCTCCGAGGCTGGGACTGTACAAACCCCGTTTGAGAGATGCAAAAGCCGAGGCCAGGAGGACCTAAGGCATTTGCCTCGAGTCCCGTCGCGGGGGTCCTGGCAGGGCTGTCCGCAGAGCCCACGCTTTCCAGCACGACCTTTGATGTGTCGGTGGCCCACGTTTTTTCTCCTGTCACCCTGGGGTGGCGCACACACCATCAAGGGCTGTAATTCATCTGGGTGATGCTGGTCTGGTCCACCCCGTCCTCGTGTGATGGGGACACCGAGGTCCAGGGAGGAGCAGCTAAAACCACTCCGCAAGTTCCCAGCAGGGCATCTCCCACGTCTCCTGGCTCCCGTGGCCCCATGTCCTTCTCTGAGAGAAGCAGTGAGAGAGGAAAAGCTGTGGCATCAGGGAAGTGGGGACAGTGGGGTGGTGGCTGGGCTGTCTAGGCCCCTGGCAACAGCAGTGTGTGTGTCTTGGGGGGGGGGGGGGGGGAGTCAGATGTAAATGGACCCCTGTGTCTTCAGGGTCTGAGGCCTGGCTGGGCTGGAGCTCCTGTTTCCTGGCTTGGTGGGCTTGGACCTTCTTGGTGCCGTCCGCGGCCCCTGGGACAGGAAGGGGATGATTGGGTTGGATGACAGGAGGTGCAGGTTCATGTAGCCCCAAACCATGAGATGCCACCACTTAAGCCCCCCAACCTGTCCTATGGCACCCCTGCCTTGCTCAGAGTCCCATCCGGAGTTCTAACCCGGGCCGCAGGATCCTGTGTGATCTGCCCCGGCCCAGCACACTCCCACCCCAAGGCCTTTGCAGTTTCTGTTCCCTTGCCTGAGAATGCTGTTCCCTACATGTCTGCATGACTCTTGCCTCACTTCATTCCCATCTCAAGTGTCACCTCAGAGAGGCCTTTCCTGACCTCCCCCCACTTAGTCTGAGAGCCCTCTCTACCCAGCTCTAGTCCAGTCCTATTCTTCTTCATGGCTCCTGGCGCCACCTATAGGTCACATGGTGTTAACACATGACGATTTATTCTATCTTCCGCCAAGTTCTGTGTCACTTAGAAGTGCAGGTGGCCTTGGGAAGGGCCTTCACTTCCACAGTGTGAAACCTCATTGCCTTCTTGGGTTTTGTTGGGGTTCTGGTGGTTTAGTTTCGTTGCATATTTTTCATAGAAATATATATATACAGGGAAATGGTTCTCTGCTTTAAGGAAAAAACCAGCACAAATGGGACCAGAGACCACAGGGCCAGCTGACTCAGCTTGTTCCTGGACAAGGGAGCAGCTGTGACTCCTCTGCTGTTCAGGGTTGGCAGGCGGGACCACAGGCTCCCAGGGGCCCAAAGTCTCTCCGTTTTCAAGATGAGATGAGGGGGAAATTAAGCTTTTGTGTGGTTCCCCAATTGTTCAGTTTGTTCATAGGAAAATTCTATTAACCAAACACAACGTGTTGGTGGATGAATCTAGTTTGTGAGCTACACCTTTACAGCTCTGCCTTAAGGAAACTGAGGGCACTGGTGTGGAGAAGAGGGACCCAGGGCCTTACGTGACCGGGGGAGCGGCGGGAGGTGGGGTGGGATTCCTTCTGTGCCGATGCACAGACGCATGTGCGACCCCGGGAGGTTCAGCTGTTCTGAAGGAAGGGTTGCTGCCTTAGTCTAGTGGGCTGGGCAGGTCATGAGCTCTGCGTCTCTGAGCCCCTCCCCACCCTTCACCGCCACATTCCAGCCGGCTTTGTCTGTCCGCACCTCTGAGCCCCAGCTGGTGTATCACTCGTTCGCCTGAGTCTGTTGCCTGTTGTCTATGTTCCGCACTAGAGGGTCCACTCCCTGAGGGCCTGAGGGTTTTGTCTGTTTTCTCCACTGCTGACTCCCTGGCCCAGAACAGTCCAGGCAGAAAGTAGGAAAGGCAGGTGGTTATTAGCTGTATGCATGAAGAAAAGCTTGTAGGCCACCGTGGGAGGGTTTGGCCAGAAGCGTCCCAGGAGGACCCCCTGACCTGCTGTTCGCCTCCCCCAGAGCCGGCTACCTGACTCTGTACGGAGTCGAAGCTCTGCCACGCACCCGTGAGAGCCGGGCCCAGGACCGCACCCACTCAGCTGATGTCTTCCACACCTTCCGCCAGCTCGACCTCCTGCTCCCCAAACTGGCACGTGGCTCCCTGTCAGTGGGTAAGCACCATGGGGACCCTGGTGGGCGGTGGGGCAGACAGAGGGACCCAGAGGGGGAGCCCACAGTCAAGCTGAAGGCTCACAGGCAACATGGGCGGAAGGACATTCTCATGCCCTGGGCAGCAGTGAGATCCCTGTCCCCAGGCATATGCAAGAGTACAGTGGTAGGAGGCAGGGCTTGGGCCAGAGCTGGGGTTCCTGGTGGATGCGTTACATCTAGAGTAGGGCCTGGGGACCTCGTTGTGCGTTATTTTTATTATTTCCTATTTTTAAAGGTTTCTATTACTTTTTTCTGCTGAGGTGTGATTTTCATACAGGAAAGCACCCAGGTCCTAAATGCACGGCTGAGAGGTAAATCTAAATATTTCGTGTCCTTCCCAGTCAATACCCACCACGCAGAGGGAGCCGCCATATTGGTTCCTGTCGCCTTGGATTAGTTTTACCTGTTTGCGAATTTCCCATAAATAGAATCACGCAGCACGTGTCCTTTTGTGCCCGGCTTCTTTCACTCAGCCTCTCGTCTGTCAGCTTCGGCCAGGTGGCCGTATGTATCGGTCGTCTGTTTTCCCCGTGGCATAGCATTTCAGTAGAGTAGTCTGTCTGTCCGTCCCTGGTGGAGGGATGTGTGGGTCGTTCCCAGTTTGGGGCTGTTGTGAATCGGGCTTCTGAGAACCTTCTTTGTACCTGTCTCCCATGGCACACCTGCCTTCACCTCTCTGTTATCAGCCCTCCGCTCTTCTGACCTTGATCTTGCACACTGAAGGAGCCGTCCAGCCACATAGCATTCTCCCTGAACTCCACATCTGGAGTATTTCAGCTTGGGTCTGTGAAAATCCACCCCACTTACTGTTGTGGCTACAGAGGGAGCTCGGTGTTGGTAAAGAGGTTCCGGCAGGATTCAGTGCCCAGGGGCCATGCGAACCACTGGGCTGCACTCTCTTCTGGCCACTGTGTCTCAAACTTCTCTCGTGAGAAGAATCCTCTCGGCCCTTGTTAATAATACAAGCCCCCAGATCCCTTCCGGTCCACTTGAATCCAAGTCTCCAGGGAGGTCGGGAAACTGCATGTATTCTAAGTGGCACAGGAAGGTTGAGAAGTCGTGTGTATCCTGGACTCAGACATTGGCAGCAAAATCTGGATTCAGATGCCTACTGTGGGGCTTCTGAGCTGATGATTTGGGGCAAGTTACTGGTCTTTTTTTTTTTTACCCCAGGTCCTATCTCCAGACGGGCAGTTGAAGGGAGTGATTGATACATGCTCCGCTCACATGGCTTGAGGTAGTTTACTGGCTCCTATATAGTGTCCCTGTGCCTCAGCGATCTCATCTGTAAAGTGGGGAGAACAATAGGATCTTCCTGCAGGGTGACTGTTGGGAATGGCTGAGGTAATAAGAAAAAACACTTCTCTGTTGAACACTTTCTAGGTGCCAGATACCAGGTTAACTATGGTCTCATTCAGTGCTCACAACAGCTTATCACCCCATTTCCTTTATTTATGTAGTTTTTAAAAACCACACTTTAGCCCATTAGATTGTTTGAGAAGGAAACCTTCTCGTGATTAACAATGCAAAGATGCTGGCATATATCCCTTCACACTGTTTTGTAGGAATACTCGATTTTACAGAGACAAAGACACATATCTAGAGTGTCACTGGGTGTATTTTAAGAAGGAATTATATCTATTATCTGCAGCTTGGGTTTTTGTTTAACCTAACAACATAGCTGTGTATTCTTCCCTGTCAATACAAGTATCTTCTAGTGATATTAGCCAATGCAATTAGATAAGAGAAATCAATTACTGGCATAAGAATGAGTAAAGAAGGGATGCCTGGGTGGCTCAGTCGGTTAAGCGTCTGACTTTAGCTCAGGTCCTGACCTCACGGTTCTTGAGTTCAAGCCCCGCGTCGGGCTCTGTGCTGACAGCTCAGAGCCTGGAGAGCCTGCTTCGGATTCTGTGTCTCCCTCTCTCTCTGCCCCTCCCCCACTCATGCTCTGTCTCTCTTTCTCTCTCAAAAATAAATAAATGTTAAAAAAAAAATTTTTTTTAATGGGTAAAGAAGATGTAAGACTATCCCTGTTTGCAGAAGATCTGGTTCTGTGCTGGGAAAACCCCAGGAAATCCATGACAGAACTAACTCAAGTGAAAAAGACTGGCAGAGTGGAAGGATATACAATCAGCATGCAGAGAATTGAGTCATCTTTGCAGCTCTTGCTTGTCAGGATTTAGGCAGCCATCCCCCTCCAATGGATACTTATAATTGTTTCCTTTTGTGTGTGTGTGTGTGTGTGTGTGTGTGTGTGTGTGGCTACTTTAGTATTCCATTGTACTTGTATCTTTGCTACCATCTGGTGATTTTATTCCTCTGGACAGTTTCCTGGAAGTGGGTTTGCCATGTCAGAAGGCATACACATTAAAATTCTTGTTAGCTGCGGCCACATCATTTCCAAAACCATGGAGCAATTCATACGCCTGCCCAAAGGGAAGGAGTCTGCTCATTCCCCCACCAGATGTTATCAGTCCTTGCATTTGTTTGCCAATCTGATGGGCAGAGGCAGGTAACTTGTTGTTTTAATTTGCATTTCCCCACAGCCTTGTCAACAAACAGTTATCAGATTTTAAGACCTTGCCAACCTGATGGACAAAAAAGGACATCTGGCTTTATGGGCATTTCCCTGATCACTGTGACGGAACAGCTTTTCGTGTTTCCCCAGCCATTTGCTTTTCCTCTCCGCGGGTTACCTCTTATCATCCTTTTAGAGACAATTCATGATCTTATTGAACCATCAGTGCTAGAAGGTTGATATTATTATACCCATTTTGCAAGTAAGGAAACAGGCCCAGACAGATGAAGTCATTTGTCAGGGACACACAACTGTTAGGAGGCAGAGCCGGCAAAAGGAAAAACTTGGTCTGATTGCAAAATCCTGTGTGTAAAGCACCTGGCACCTCCCAGCATCGGTTGCTTCTCCAGGAAAGAGTGGTTTCTCCATCGCGCATTCATCCATCCATACCCACGCTCTTATAGGGGACCCTGGGTCATTCAGGGAGCCACCCTGGGCTGGGTATAGGAAAGCTGCATTTCCCAGTGTGGGCAGCAGGTGGCAGTGTTGGGGAAGGTTTCTCATCTTGGGGCTGGACAGATGGACAGCTGCCCTCAGACTTTGTTGGGCTTGTGAAGAGGGCAGCCTCTTTGGAAGAGTGATGTGGCAGAACCTGTCAAAACAGAAATGCTCATTCCCTCGAACCTGAACTCCTACTACTAGGAATTATCCTACAGCAGTGCTTGCACGCATAAGATCCTCATTGCCCTGTTGCTTATAATAATAGCAAATGCTGCAGACAGCCTGTATGTCCACCCGTGGGGACTCATGAAATAAGTTATACATTCACATAAAGGAGAACAGCAACCGTCAAGTAGAACGGGATATACCAAAACCATGCAGGAGAGTGGGTATGTTGTGGGATTTTTTAGTTTATTTTTTTTCCAGTTTCATTGAGAAATGATTGACACACGACACCACGTAAGTTTAAAGTATACAGCATGATGACCTGACTTACATATATTGTGAAATGAGCACCACGGTAAGTGTGGTTAACATCTTTGTTTTCTAAGCCTGTGGGAACATTTTGCTTCTGAGAAGGCTGAGATGGGATGGGAATGCCCGTTTGAACTCTTAGAGATGCTTTCTTTCTTTTTCTTACTTTTTTTTTTTTTTTTTTTTTTGCCACGTGGATGCATTATTTCTCCTCCACTATTAAAATTATAAACATTTTGGGGCACCTGGGTGGCTCAGTTGGTTAAGTGTCTGACTGTTGTTGATCTTGGCTCAGGTCATGATCTCATGGTTCATGAGATCGAGCCCCACATTGGGCTCTATGCTGACAGTGCAGAGCCTGCTTGGGATTCTCTCTCCCTCCCTCTCTCTCTGCCCCTCCCCTGCTCTCACTCTCTGTCTCTCCAACTAAATAAATAAACATCTAAAAGCACCATTTAAAACAAATGTATAAACATATTTTAAAAGAAAATTGACCCTTTGGGGGATGCTTAGATCACAGAGTCTGGTGCTTCTCATATAGGAGGGAATTGGGGGCAGATAGAGCCCCAAGCTAAATATACTGCTTTCTGGAACATTCGTTTTACTAAATTATTTGGGAGGGGCGTGTTTTCTTTGAATATTGTTTTGGAAGGAGAAGCATCCTTATAATAAAGAATGACAGAGTCTAGGGGTGCCTGGGCGGCCCGGTTGGTTGGGTGTCTGATTGTTGATTTCAGCCCAGGTCATGATCTCGCAGTTCGTGGGATCGAGCCCCGCATCTGACTCTGTGATTGGGCTCCTCCCTCTGCTCCTCCTTTGCTCATGTTCTCTCCCTCTCTCTCAAAAATAAACATGAAAGAGAAAGAGAAAGAAAGAAAGAAAGAAAGAAAGAAAGAAAGAAAGAAAGGAAGGAAGGAAGGAAGGAAGGAAAAAGAAGGAATCACAGAGTCTAATGCAAAAATCTAATGCATTTTTTAGGGAAAAGACAGGACTTTAATTTTTTTTTTTAATGTTTATTTATTTTTGAGACAGAGAGTACGAGTAGAGGAGGGGCAGAGAGAGGGAGACACAGAATCCGAAGCAAGCTCCAAGTTCAGAGCTGTCAGCACAAGAGCCCGAGGTGGGGCTCGAACCCGAAAACACAGGACTTTAAAGATATGTCCCTCTCTGGACTATGCCCAGGTTTCTAGGGCACAGAGGGGCTTCTGAGGAAAAACTTGAGAGGTACTCAACTCTGGGCCCCTCGTTTTACAGATGGGAAGACTGAGACCCAGTGGTGGACAGGGCCTTGGCCAAGGCCACACAGCATGGGAGGTCTGGAATTTGAACCTGCAATGCAATTACTAGTTACACAGGCCTGGGAGTTCTGATTCACAGCACTGAGTCATTACACTGGGGCTGATAAATAATACTTAAGAATAATGGCAAGAATGTAGCAAGCATGACATGCTAGACCCCTACCAGTACCAAGTGTGTTCTGTGTTTTTATATCCTCCTAGTGATCCCATGAGCTCGGTTGCCCCCATTTTACAGATGGGGAGGTCGAGGCTCAGAGATCCAAAATCTTTGCAAAAGATGATCTTTCTAGGAAGGGACAGAGCTAGGATTTCTACCAGGGTCTCTGGCTGCCAACTGTGTGTTCTTTATTTCACATATTATTATTATTTGCTAAGTATAGAAACAATACATGAATATATTCTCCATGGAATCACTGTCTGTTTTCTAAGTTAATACATTCAATTTCTGCACAACCCTTTGTGTGGGTACTTCTGTTATAGCAGTTTACAGGTTTGAAAACTGAGGAGTTGTGAGGTGGGGTGGGTTTTTGTTGTTGTTGAATTGCAAGAGTTCTTTATATATTTTGGATCCTAGACCCTTACCAGATCTATGATTTGCAAATATTTTCTCTCATTCTGCTCATTGTCTTTTCATACTGTGTTGCTTTTTAAAGTCATCCTTAGAAGCTGTGTTGACAGTGATATTCAAGGTTTGTAATTGTGCTGTCAGACCTCAAAGAATCCCAGTCATTTCCAAATCTGTGTTAAATTTCTTTGCTCCCTTCTTTAGCTATTTCATCAGCTAACTCTTACAAATCCAGCATGAGCATCAACCAAGGGCCTTTAGCACTTCCTTTACCCTCCACTCACTTGTTGAAAACCTCCACATGCCCAGGTCCCATGCCCCCAAGATTCTGACAAGATTGGTCTGCAGTGGGACCTGGGCATCCAGAGGGTTAAAGCTTCTGGGCGATTCTCCAGTGCCCCAAAAGTTGAGAGACATAGGAAGATAATGTATTTCAGAGGAACAGTTGGGCTCATTGCTTTAAATCGAGAAGTACAGGAGCACCTGGGTGGCTCTCTCGGTTAAACGTCCAACTCTTGGTTTCGGTCAGGTCATGATCTAACAGGTTGTGAGTTCAAGCCCTGCGTTGGGCTCCGTGCTGACAGCTCAGAACCTGGAGCCTGCTTCAGATTCTGTGTCTTCCTCTCTCTCTCTCTCTCCCCCTCCCCCACTCATGCTCTGTCTCTCTCAAAAATAAATAAACATTAAAAAATATTAAATTGAGAAGTATATCACCTGAAAAGGTCCGGAGGTTGAAGAAAAGCGTATGGAGCATATTATTTGAAAATATAATATGCTTAAAATATATGTATATTTTAATATAAGTTTACCCTACGTTTTCCACCCTTTCGAATACCCTGTAATATGCAACCCAGTCTAGAACCATTGGGTGGATGGGTCTTCCTGAAACACTGCTTCGTGGTTCCAAAAAGCCAGTGAGAGAATCTCTAGTCCTTGGGAATTTTGTAACCATCCAAAGCGACACCCACTTTTCCAAGGGGTGATTTCGGAAGAACCAAATCTCTTATTTGCACGTACATCTGTAAATACAGCATCGTCTTGCAGTGTGGACACAGTGTATGAATAATAAGCACCTGGCTTTGTGCCCTCAACAGTCTGCCCGGCCGGGCCCATCTGGATCCGTACCTCGGTTTCCACCGCCTGTGGTGCCCCAGAGCCTAACACCCTGTTGTTTACTTAAAGGTGCCTGTGAACTGGTAATCCGTGGGCCAGAGCTGCCCTTCAGAGAGGCTTTTGTGGCCTGCACAGTGACGAACATTTCTTGCCCAGGTGCCGGCCTTAAAGCACATGGGAAGACTCCCTGTGAACATCTGGACTTTCATTTTCTTCTGAAAACTCAGGCTCCCTGGCCGTGCTGGGCCAAGTTCCTCTGCCAGGCTGGTGGTCACCCCGACCCTCCTGTTCCCCATGGCCCCATCCTGGCCCTCCTCCTTCATTTACTTTACCTGCCTTCCCTGGAGGTAGTTGAGCTTGAGACCCCTAGGCCCATCTTTCCCCTCTCGATAGCAGTTAAGTCATTTCCCACGTCTCCTGAACGGAGCTGTGCGAGTCGGCTCATGTCGTCTCCTTGTGCACATGGCTGGCGTTGCTTTGGGATGGGACCCTGGGAAGGGAGATGGGGCTCCGCGTTTCCTGTTCCTTCCCCTGCTGTGTAAGAAACACCGTTCATTTAATGCGTGTTAACAGAGCACCTCCTGCGGGCCAGGTGCTGGAGACAGAGCTCACAGAGGTGAGCGAGACAGGACCCCTCACTCCTGGCCACCGGAGTGAGACAGATAATAACAAGTTGGCATTTGAAGGCCTTTCTTGGGTCCTCTTTCCCCACCGCGAAGAGTGACACCCAGAAGAGCCTTGGCCTCCCGGGACATTGGGGCTGGGTGGCCTTGGGCCCGGGGTGGATCTGTAACCCCCGCCCCCCTGTGCTCTGTCCCTGTAGGGGATAAGGACCGCGTGTGCAGAGTCAAAGGTCACCTGTGGAAGCTGCTGTCCCCAGCCAGACTTGCTGCTCGGGCCCACCGGAGCAAGTGGCTGGGGAGTTACCTGCTGTACCTGGAGGAGATAGGGGTGCCGGAGGACATGCAGGCCCGGGCCCTGGTGCTGCAGCTCTGGGCCACACAGGTGGGTGGATGGTGCACACGGGTGTGGTTGTGCGTGTGAGTGCATGTGTCTCTGTGTGTGCCATCAGGCACACGCAGGCACACGTGTGAGTGTGCATAGGAGTGTGCGTGCGTGGGTGTGTGCATCTGCGAGTGTTTCTCCACATGAGCGTGGGTGTGGGTATGTGAACATACCCAGCTGTCTGCCCCAGTTCCCGGACTTTCTTAACCATCAGACGGTATCGGGAATGGGATCATTCATTCAGTGTTAATTTATTCTAATTTGGAAAAATGTCAAACTTAGAGAAAAGCTGTGTGTTGGGGCGCCTGGGTGGCTCAGTCGGTTGAGCAACTGACTTTGGCTCAGGTCATGATCTCGCGGTCCGTGGGTTCGAGCCCCGCGTCGGGCTCTGGGCTGACAGCTCGGAGCCTGGAGCCTGTTTCAGATTCTGTGTCTCCCTCTCTCTCTGCCCCTCCCCTGTTCATGCTCTGTCTCTCTCTGTCTCAAAAATAAATAAATGTTAAAAAAAAAGAGAGGGTGCCTGGGTGGTTCTGTCGATTTAGCCTCTGACTTTGGCTCAGGTCATGATCTCACAGTCTGTGAGTTCGAGCCCCAGGTCCAGCTCTGTGCTGACAGCTCAGAGCCTGGAGCCTGTTTCAGATTCTGTGTCTCCCTCTCTCTCTGATCCTCCCCCATTCATGCTCTGTCTCTCTGTCTCAAAAATAAATAAACGTTAAAAATATTTTAAAAAATAATAATAAAATTAATAAAAAATAAAAAAAAAGAGAGAAAAGCTGTGTGAATAGTTTAATAAACATACACAGTTCACCTTGAGTTCCCAATTTTTAACATTTTATCACATGTGCCTTCTCCCCCTCCCCTCCTCCTCCTCCCTGTCTCCCTACTGGGGTTATTTTACTGAGTCGTTTGCAGACAAGTAGCAGACATCATGACTCTTTATCCCTAATTACTTCAGTGTATATTCCTAAGAGCAAGAAGGTTCCCCTACATGACACAGTACGAGGATCACATTCAGGACAATTAACCCAGATTCAGGATCATTATCTAATAGTCCCGATTCAGTCTTGCCACTTGTCCCAACAATGTCCTTTATGGCTCATCTTGGTCCGACATCCAATCCAGGATCACACGGTGCCTTTAGTCATTCTGTCTTTTGAGTTTTCTTTAATGTGGAACAGTTTCTGTGCCTTTCATTGTTTTTCATGACCTTGACATTTTTGAAGTATGCAGAACAGTCATTTTGAAGAATTATTTAAAAGTTCCGTTGAGTACTTACCTAGACCTCAAAGATCTGCTTTTGTTGCTTATGTTTTAGCTGGTGCAGACAGTCAAGGAAGTGCATACAGGGTGATTTTATTTTATTTTATTTTATTATTTTATTTTATTTTATTTTATTTTGTTTTATTTATTTTATTTCATTTCATTTTATTTTATTTTATTTTATTATTTTATTTTATTATTTTATTTCATTTCATTTTATTTTATTTTATTTTATTATTTTATTTTATTATTTTATTTCATTTTATTTTATTTTATTTTATTTATTTTATTATTTTATTTTATTATTTTATTTCATTTCATTTTATTTTATTTTATTTATTTTATTTTATTATTTTATTTTATTATTTTATTTAATTTCATTTCATTTTATTTTATTTTGTTTTATTTATTTTATTTTATTATTTTATTTTATTATTTTATTTTATTTTATTTTATTTTATTTTAAGTTTAAGTTTATTTATTTTGAGAAAGAGAGAAAGTGTGTGTGCACCTGCACAAGTGGGGCAGGGGCAGAGAGGGAGGGAGTGGGGGAGAGAGAGAGAATGAGCGAATGAATCCCAAGCAGGCTCTGTGCTGTCAACAAGGAGACTGGTGAGATCATGACCTGAGCCAAAATCAAGAATCAGACGCTTAACCAACTGAGCCACCCAGGCACCCTGTACAGGGTGAATTTAGATGTGGATATACACAGGATGTAAAATGGAGTCAGGAATAGAGAGATCCTGGGGGTCTGTTGTCATCAAGGTGGTTGAGGAAGACTGAGAAGGAGAGGTTTGGCTGATAAGAAAGAGCTGAAGTTGGGGGCTTGGGAGAGATGTGGGACTAGAGCATTCCGAGTAGGGGAAACAAAGTGCAAAGGCCCTGGGGTTGCATCATACCCAGTGTTTGGACAATAGGAAGGAGTTGAGTGTGGCTGAAGCAGAGTGAGGAGGGGTAGGAATGAGGGAAGAGATCATGGATGGCATGTGGGTCCCAGTAAGTAAAAACTTGGGGTTTTTCTGTGGCTGAGGTGGGAGCCCTGGGAATGTTCTAAGCAGAGGAGGGAAAGAATCTCAGGAGCAAAGGCAGAAGTAAGGACACCAATGAGACAGTGGCGGTAGGACCAGGTGGTGGCCGTGGAGGTGAAGAGGAAATTCTGGAAACAGAGAAGCCAGCGCCAGTGGGTATGGTAATGGACCAGATACTGGGGTGAGAGAAAGCAGAGCTGAGGATGCTACCTCTCAAGGCCTGGTCCTGCCCTCTCCTGGACCCCAGAGCCCTGCACCTTCTCTTGGCCCCTCCTCAGCGGTGACAGCTGCACAGACTGACATTTCTGGGTAATTCCCTTCCCATCGACTTGCAGCTTATTTTTAGTTTTCTCTCAGAGCCATTAACTGTCCTTGCAGGCAAAGGCTGGCAAGGGGCAAGGGCTGGGTTTAATCAGCAGTTGGGGCCCCATTAGTGCCTAATAACATATTTATGGGTAGAGACTTGGAGCTCCCAACCGCCCCCAGAATCCCTTGCAGAATGACCTCTGTCAGCAGAACTAGATGCTGGCTTGGGGGCTTGAGTGGCAGAGAGTCTGGGGAACAGCCTTTGGTGGGGCCAGGAGAACTGAGCAGGGCTTGGGGACAGGACATCCTCTGACTCTGCATTGTTGACAGTGTGCAGAATTCAGGCAGGTGACAAGATGCTTCGAGAGCTTGAGTCTTTTTTTTTAAATTTTTTAATGTTTATTCATTTTTGAAAGACAGGGAGAGACAGAGTACAAGCAGGGGTGGGGTGGAGAGAGAGGGGGACACAGAATCCGAAGCAGTCTCCATCCAGGCTCCAAGCTGTCAGCACAGAGGCCGACGCGGGGCTCGAACTCACGGGCCATGAGGTCATGACCTGGGCCGAAGTCGGACGCTCAACGGACTGAGCCACCCAGGCGCCCCGAGGGCTCGAGTCTTAAGAGCAGGGCCAAGATGCTGAGAAGCCCCGTGGTGTTGGACACAGGCCCTGTGACCCACCTGCCTGGATTTGAATCCTGACTTTGCCACTCCCTGGCAAACCAGTCCCTTATGTTCTTGGTGCCTCAGTTTACTCAGCTGTAAAGTGAAGGTGGCAGTCAGTACCGTCCTCAAGGCGCTGTGGTGAGGATGGGAGAAAGCGATGATGGCAAACCTGTAATTGTACTGGGCAGGTGACTAGAGCTCACTAGACGTGTTCAACAGTTATTTAGTGAATGGCCACTGTGTGCTGGGCACCATTCTAGAAGCCAGGGATAGAGCAGTGAGCAGACCAAAGACCCCTGCCCTTATGGAGCTGATATTCTGGGAGAAGACACTTGGTAAACAAGTCAGCATATAAAATATAGCCAAGGTAAATATAGTCAAGTTCTGTAGAGAACCGATAAAGTGGGGGAGGGGGTGGGGAGGGCTACTTTATATAGCGTGGCCAAGGAAGCCCTCACCAGGAAGGTGACATCTGAGCAGAAATATGAAGGGAGGGGGGGAGCCATATAGATACATAGGATGAGGGCATCCAAGCAGGGGCACAGCAAGTGCAAAGGCCCTGAGGTGGGGATCAGGGTGATGTGATAGAGAGGTAGCAGGGCCCTGTGGGCTTTGGGGAGGACTTTGGCTTTTCCTCTGAGAAAGGAATTCTTTGAGGACACTGAACAGAGGAGCAACATAGCCTGCCCTCTGCTTTAGAGGCATTATTCTGCTACATCACTGAGAATCGGCTGTAGGGGGGGAAGTGGAGGCAGGGAGACCAGAGATGAGGCCACTGCAGTGTCCAGGCAAGAGAGGATGGTGATGGACCAGGGCAGGTGCCGAGGCCAAGAGAGGGAGTGAGAGCATTCTGGACACATTTCTGGGTAGAGCCAACAGGATTTGCTGTTGGACGGGACATTGAGAGAAGGTACCAACAGCGATGCCTCCAGGTTTTGGCCTGAGCAACAGGAAGGACAAAGATGCTGTTAACTGATGAGCAAGATGGTGAACGGGGCAAGCGTGCGGGGAGAGAATCAGAGGGTTGGTTTTGGGTGTGTGAGTTTGAAACAGAGAACTGGGTAGGGGGTGGGGGACACAGCTGGAGTGAAGAAGAATATGGAATTCAGGGCTGAGGCCCAGGAGGGAGACGTGCCCTTGGGAGGTGTTGGTGTGGTGGTGGTTTGGGCAGCCACTGGTCTGGAGACCGCAGGGGCTCAGGGGGATGGAGAGGGGACCCAGCCCCTGGCCTCTCCAGCTGTGGGGTTCAGGAAGGCGGAGAGGAGTCTGCCTGAAAACCGAGGAGGAGTGGTCGGGGGGGGGCTGTGGGAGGGGAACCGAGAGGGGGCCACCCAGAGGCCAGCTGCAGAAAGTTCTGAGACGTGGCCAGATGGTAGCTTGGCTGCTATCGTCAGATCAGAGTGGAGCCCGGAGGCTCCAGCCCCCGGGGGCTAGAGGGCCGCCCAGGTCAGGGAAGAGGCTGGCTCTGAAGGGGTGAGGTGGGCAGAGCGAGGCGTTCACGAAGGCCTGCCTGGCAGGCCCACGGTGGCCCAGGCTTCCCTCCCAGCTCTGAGGCATTGGGGGGGGGGGGGAGGGGCGACCGTGTCAACCCTAAAAGAAACAGATTTTTTTTTAATCACAAAAAATGAAAAGAGATGTCACCTGTGACCTCCCATCCCTCAGCTCTGCTTTCTTCCCTCATGGCTCCAGGCCCAGACGGGCTGCCCCAGAGGGTGGCCGTGAAGGGTGCCAGCAGCTCCTGGCAGCTGGGCAGCCCCCCGTGGAGGAGGGCTTCTCCTTCCCGTGGATTCTCCCACAAATCCCAGGTCTGAGGCTCATTGGCCCAGCCCGAGTCACACGTCCCCTCTGAGTATATCACCGAGTGGCCCAGCCCGGGTAGCGAGTCCACACCTGAGGTCTGGAGGGTGTGGCTCAGCCCCAGATGCCCAGAGTGAAGTAGGAGGTACTTCTTCGAAGGAAAATGGGGTGCTGCTATCCACAGGCAAGGGAGTGGAAGCAGGGCAGGCAGGGTGCACGTGTCCCCCACTCCGCCTGGCTCTGTGGTGAGGTGGCCACAAAGTGGAGCACAGGATCCCAGTGCCGTGTCCGGTGCACTTTGAGCGCCCCCTGGAGGTCAGCTGCTGCCATTCACAGGAAAGGTAGAGCAGAGGACAGGCGCTCCTGGGTGAGTGGACTTTGGCTGCAGGGGTGGGGAATGAGGCTAGACGAGATGTATTCTCCTGGGTAAACGGAGGCGGGGCCCTATGGGAGACAGCTCGACTTCCAGGGTAGTGAGTTCAAGATCTCTTGTAGAGGTGTGATCACATACACGTGCACACTCACACGTCTGTGCCGTGGGTGGAAGGCAGTCCTTGCTGCCTCCCTAACTTGCCATGGTTTTTTCTGGAAGGCAGAGATCACTGAGCAGCCTCATGGTCCCCTCATGCTTTGTGATTAATGAGCGGTGGCCCCCATCAGACTGTCCAGGCAAGACAAAATGGCCTTGGCCCTGGGTTCACCCAAGGCTAAATTATTTATCACCTACACCCCCCTGGCTGTTTAAGTGATGGACAGCAAGTGACCTTGCTTGTCTCTGTAGGACCTGAGATGCCAGAGGAAATCTCAGAGTCCAAGGCCCCACCTCGTTCTCAAACGGGGTAGGGGAGGAGAGGAGGGGTGCTGGGAGGGGAGACCACTTCTGAGCACCTACTCTGTGCCCAGCAGGCGGAGATGGCTTATGTTACCCCATTTAACCAGGATGGAGGTTTTGAGACCCAGAGTGGGAAGTGACTTGTCCAGAGTCACAGAAAGCGGGGAGCTGGGTTGTAAACCCAACTCTGCCTGGTCCAGTCCAGGGTTCTGCCAGCCCACCTCCCAGGCTGCCTTGGACATAGAGGATTCTTCCACAAATACCATTGAACTCCTGCTGTGCGCGGGACTGGGGAGTGCTTAGTTGGCCTTTTTGGTGAAATGGGTGATAATGGTACCTGCTTGAAGGGAGAATTGAATGAGGGAACAATGGCACTTCCTTGGTGCTGAATTCACAGCAGCTAAAGAAAAAAAAAACCCAGAAAATCTGTTTCACCATCATTGATGCTTTGGTCCATTTGTTTTCTGCCTTTTTCTGTACATTTCTTTTCTGTGATTAAGATCATGGAGTTTTTTGTTGTTATTTAGGTTTGTGTTTTTTGTTTTTGTTTTTGTTTTTTTTTTTTGAGAGAGAGAGAGAGTGCATGCAAGCAGGGAAGGGGCAGAGATGGAGAGAGGGAGAGAGAAAACCCCAAGCAGTCTCTGCCCTGTCAGCGCAGAGCCCGATTCGGGGCTTGATCTCACAAACCATGAGATCATGACCTGAGCTGAAATCAAGAGTCGGATGCTTAACCAGCTGAGCCACCAGGTGCCCCAAGATCATGCAGTTTTTAAAATCCAAGTTTTAATTTTACTTACTATCATGTCACAAGCATTTCTCCATGTCATTGCAGATCAGTATAAAAATCACCCCACTTTTCTTTGGCTTAAAAGTACTGCATCCATTAAAAAAATTCAAACAGTGTAAAAGCGCATATGTAGTGAGAATCAGTACCTGCCACTCCCCCCCCACCCCGCCTCTCCCGCTTCGGTTCCAGAGGCTCCTTGTAGAGATGGTCCGTGCTTCTTCATGGGATCCCTCTTCAAACCTACAAATGGGAGCACAGTGAATCCCTGTTCTGGGTCCCCCTGTGCTTCAGGGCATCTTGGCTACTGTCCCATCAGTGCACACAGAGCCAGCTGCCTTTTAACGACTTCCTGTATCATCGTTCTATGGAGGGATCATCGTCTATCTCATTGATCTATTGATAGACTGGCTTTGCTTCCAATCTTTTGTTGTTACATCAGCACTGTGATCAATATCCTTGTGCAAATGTCCTTTTGTCCGTGTGCAATTATGTCTGTAATAGAATTACTGGGGAAATACGGCGTTTAATGACTATCATCAAGATGGAATGGTAGACAAAAATCGTCCCCCATATCAAGGTTAGTTGGTATTCCACCCATGTGAGCTTATTTTGGGGTACCCCACACATATTTTAGCTTCGGGAAATACCTGAATATTAAAGTGTTCAGCTAAGGCTGAAGTCTTGGAACAAGAGATTTAAAAATATTTTTTGTAGTTTTTTATTTATTCAGGTAATGTCTATACCCAACATGGGGCTCACACAACCCCGAAATCAAGAGTCACATGCTCCTCCAACCGAGCCAGCCGGGTGCCCCTAGAGCAAGAGATTTTATCCATTTTCCTAATTACTGAACTATTGAGAACTTTTACGTAATTTTTGTTCAAGAAATTACTAGCTTTCATGGTCATCGTCGATTATCGCTTCTTCGCAACATACACACACAATGTGTAAATATTTGAAAGTAGATAGCCAGGCATCACATCAGTTGCTATTGTTGTGTGACAACAAACCACAAAAATTTGGTGGCACACACTGATGAGTATTTATTTAACTCCCACATCTGTGGGTCTGCTGGATTCAGCTGCTCTGGACGAGGCGTAGCTGGACGGCCGGCTCTGTCTCACGTGTGTCTCATCCTCCTCGTGGGACCAGCAAGCCATCGGGCAAGTGGAAACAGACAAGGTCTCTTAAGGCCCGTGCTCAGAGCTGCTGCTCGGTCAGTTCTGGTCGATTCTGTTGGTCGAAACAAGTCACACAGCGGAGCCCAGATTCAGGGGGCTGGGGAAATACACTGTGCCTCTGAAATGGGAGCAGAACAAAGTCCGGGACAAGGGGCACGGATACAGGGAAGGGTGGAGAACCGGGGCGAAGGATTCGGTCGTCCTAGATGTTAACAATAATCTTAACTGATACACCTTGTTCCTACTACTGACACTTCTTTGCTGATTAGCTATGAAGATCACCTGTGTGAGCTCAGCTCAGGGATTTTGCTCAAGGTCAGGGATGCCAAGAATAGCGCTGAGAGTAGGCATCGGGCTACACCAAAGCCCCAGAGCATATTTGGGCCATGTCCTGAGCTGAAGATAAGCATGAGTCATGCCTAGATGTTTGGCAGGCATGGGAACCCAGGCCTACTGACCCCTGTGCCTTGGCCAGGGCTGTGGCTGTGGCACGGACCAGTCAGCTCTCACCCCAGGTTTGCCCTGTTGATGGTATAACAGGGGCTCCTTCTCATTGCAGGGCAACATGGGTCCTGCTGCCTTCTGGCTTCTGCTCTTCCTCCTCAAGAATCCTGAGGCCCTGGCTGCTGTCCGTGGAGAGCTTGAGCAGCTCCTCTCCAGAACAGAACAGACTGTTTCGCAAATGACCACCCTCCCCCAGAAGCTTTTGGACAGCATGCCTGTGCTTGGTGAGACAGACCCTCCAGATTAGCCCCAAAGACTGGGTCATCGTGGGCCCCCTAAGCCCTTCCCAACATGGACTCCCATCATCCAGAGTCCATCAGTGTCCTCTGACCTAGGGTCTCCCAGGACCTCCTGTCTTCTTAGACCTGGTATCTCTGTGTCCCTCACTCAGCTGCCCAGGACTCATGGTCTCTGTAGATTTTTGGTTGCAAATGGCAAAAAACCTAACTTAAACTGGCTGAAGCAGACAAAGGACTTTCTTTGAGGGCATTAACTCAGAAGTCCAGAGGACAGCTAACTTCAGGCACAGGTGGACCCAGGTGCTTTAACAACATCATTAGGACTCAGTCTGTCCCTCTCTGGGCCCTGCCCTGCTGGGTTGGCTCCAGTCTCAGGTCAGCGGGATGGCCACCAGTCCGGGCTGACGTACTGTCAGTCCTACGAGGGGGTGCTTCTCTGAGATGTTCCTACCCAAAGCCCCAGGATTGTGTCTCATTGGCTGTCTTTGAGTCACATGCCCATCTTGAACCAATGACAGGTTCAGAGGGTTGAAATGCTCTGATTAGTCAATCACACACAGCCCATGGAATTGGGAGTGAAGTCAACAGCCCAACCTCTGACAGCAGGAGAGGAGTGGTCTCCAGAAGAAGATCAGGGAACTGTTTCCAGATGGGGAGTGTAAGCTGGTCAAACAGAAACAACCGGACATTGATGGCCCTGCTCTCCCCAGTCTCCCCTGATATCTCCCTGGCTCCCACAGTCCTTCACAGCTTCTAGAGTCAGACCCAAACCCTCACATCCAATATCTGAGGACCATAGTAATCCTATCTCATCAGTTGGCCTTTTTTGGCTCCTCTGTGTGATGGGGGGCAAGCTATGCACCCTCTCTGAGCCTGCCCACCTTCCTCTGTAAAAATGAGGGCTGGGGGTGGCATTTGCGTGTGTGAGAGGACAGCGGCTGACCCTTCCTGGTGCCTGCCCATGCAGACAGCGTGCTTAGTGAGAGCCTCAGGCTCACTGCTGCGCCCTTCATCACCCGGGAGGTCATGGTGGACCTGGCCATGCCCATGGCAGATGGGCAGGAATTCAGCCTGAGACGTGGAGACCGCCTCCTCCTCTTTCCCTTCCTGAGTCCCCAGAAAGACCCGGAAATCTACACAGACCCAGAGGTAAGTTGCATACCAGGGACTGTGGGAAAAAAAAAAAAATCAGTGGCTTCGGGACTAGCCAGATCTCAGTGGCAGCCCAGCTCTGCTCTTTGTTTGCTGTGTGACCATGCCCAGGTTACTTCACCTCTCTGTGTCTCTCACCTGTGAAATGGACCTCATGATAGCACCTGCCTCACCGCGTTGTCAGGAGAATTAAAGGAGAGCGTGTAAGAAAGGGTTTCGCAGTGCCTGGCATGCATGGAATGCTTTGTAAGTGATAGCTGAGCAATTTTCCTTTTTTCAGAATGTTATGTCAGCGTCTCAACACTTTTCTCTCTCCTCGGACTTTGAGATCGATGGGTCACACTTTTATAATTTCTAACAGATTTGGGTGCTTACCATGAGCCAGGCCCTGTGCTGTACATCCATCCACATACCCTTCCTTCCGTGCATCCATCCACCTACCCACTCAGTCTTCCATCTCTGCAGCCCCTGGTCCTTTTACTTGTCCTTCCACCCATCTTTCATTCAGCTCCTCCTCTGTGCCAAGCCCTGTTCTCAGACACTGTCTTCACCTTACCCTACAATGTAACCGAAGGAAATTGACATCCTCTTTTTAAAAAATGATTTTGTTTAAGTAATCTCTGTGCCCAGTGAGGGGCTCGAACTCATGACCCTGAGATCAAGAGTTGCATGCTCTACCGTCTGAGCCAGCCAGGCACCTCTAAAAATAATTTTAAAATTTACCCTGCCAAAGTAATATATATTTGTAAAGTAGAAATATGCAGACACATATGTTTAAAAGTAAAAACTTGGGGCGCCTGGGTGGCTCAGTCGGTTAAGCGTCCGACTCCAGCCAGGTCACGATCTCGCGGTCCGTGAGTTCGAGCCCCGCGTCGGGCTCTGGGCTGATGGCTCGGAGCCTGGAGCCCGTTTCCGATTCTGTGTCTCCCTCTCTCTCTGCCCCTCGCCCGTTCATGCTCTGTCTCTCTCTGTCCCAAAAATAAATAAACGTTGAAAAAAAATAAATAAATAAAAAAATAAAAAAATAAATAAAAGTAAAAACTTTTCTTCACTGCCTTTACTCTCCACTTATACGGAGTTCCCTAACAATGGTTTGGAGTGTATCCTTTAAATTATTTTTATGCCTTTACAGACACACATACCACGCTGACACACGTATGAATAAAGAGGTGTGTGAACAGGATAACACAATACATCCTATTCTGAAACTTGCCTTTTTAACTCAACCAGTCTAAAGAACCCTTTCTGGGGCGCCTGGGTGGCTCAGTCGGTTAAGTGTCTGACTTCAGCTCAAGTCATGATCTCGCAGCTTGTGAGCTCGAGCCCCGCGTCGGGCTCTGTGCTGGCAGCTCAGGGCCTGGAGCCTGCTTCGGATTCTGTGTCTCCCCCTCTCTCTGCCCCGTTCCTGCTCATGCTGTGTCTCTCTTTGTCTCTCAATAGTAAATAAATGTTAAAAAAAAAAAATTAAAAAAGAACCCTTTCTGTGTGAGCACACACAGACCAAGCCTACCCTTCTAAAAAGCTGAGGTAATTAAAACAATTTTTTTTTAATTTTTTTTTTTAATGTTTATTTATTTTTGAGACAGAGACAGAGCATGAACGGGGGAGGGTCAGAGAGAGGGAGACACAGAATCTGAAACAGGCTCCAGGCTCTGAGCTGTCAGCACAGAGCCCGACGCGGGGCTCGAACTCCCGGACCGCAAGATCATGACCTGAGCCAAAGTCGGACGCCCAACCGACTGAGCCACGCAGGCGCCCTAAGCTATGGTAATTTTTCAACCACTGCCCTGTTGATTGGCCTTTACGTTGCTTTCCGGTTTTCCCTCTTGTAAACAAGACTTCGATGAACACCCTCGCACAGTTTTCTCCCGGCATGCGTGTTGTGGGGGGTGGAGCCAGAAATGGACCTCCTTTCTATTTCAGGTGTTTAAGTATAACCGATTCCTGAACTCAGATGGGTCAGAGAAGAAAGACTTTTACAAGGACGGGAAGCGACTGAAACACTACAGCATGCCGTGGGGCGCTGGGCACAACCAGTGCCTGGGGAAGGCTTATGCCATCAGCAGCATCAAACAGTGAGTGTGGGGGCGGTGGCACGGGGTGCAGGCCTGGGGTTGGAGGGGGAGGCTCCTGCTCCAGCTGGTTGGCACATGCCCTCCTCTCCGGAGAATGGGCAGAGGCTCCACACAGCCCGTGAGCCTTCTCCTGCCCACAGGTCTATTTATTTGTGTTTTTAAAAATGTGTGCTAACTTTTTAAGAATCAGAAGGTCACGCATAAAAAGCCAGATTTCTGATCTCTTTTGAAATCATCAGATCTGGCAATGAGCTCTTCCCTGCAAGTCTGGTGTCCAAATACCAGACTCCCAGAATACCAAACACTGGACGTTCTGTGCAGCTGACCATTGCTATCCACAGCTGCTGTGCGTGTTCAGAACCCTCTCAGCAGGAACTGGCCGAACGTCATTGTTCCCTCTTGGTTATTTCAACTCCTGTGGGCCAGAGTGCCTTATAAATTCTCTTCCCTGGATCCCAAGAGCCTTGGCCCCTGGACCACAGACAGCGTTATGACATCTGCCCTGTCCTGTCCTGCCCCTGTGTAATCATAAGCTGGGTGACCTTCTGTGCCTGTTTCCTCAACTGTTCAAGGCGGGGGTCCTAAATCCTGCTGTGTCCCCAGTGGTGTCAGAATCTAGGAATTGGGTCTTCCAAAGTACTTACCCCACTGCCTGGCTCATCGTAGGCATTTAATAAGTGTTAGTTATTATTACAGTTGCTCACATTACTATTACTAACGTGCAAGAGTTATGCTAGGTGGGTGGGCATGTTGCATTAACCTCTTGGTCTTGGTTTTCTCGGCGGTAAGTTCTGCTTCATGCGCTTTCGTAAAACTCACACCCATGTGAAGCCACACAATAAAATCAACAGGGATTGTGGGAAAAACGGGGCCGGGGATCCGACAGTCAAAAAAACCCTCGTGAAGTAACACATGCAAGATAAGAACCCAGGGGAGAGATGGTCGTACAGGCTCACACGTGTTACGTGCTTTCTCCTTGTGCCTCTCCCACACGAAACCCATAAGCAAATGAGGAATCTGCATGAGGCCCCCTTGGTGTCCCAGTGTATCCATCAGGTTGGAACAGACTCACGTGTTCAAAAATGTAGCAGAACTGACTGTGGTTGTTACCTCGGGAAATTTCTGGACAGATAAAAAGAGATCACGCATACTAAATGCTTAGCACGGTGCCTTGCACCTAGGGTTTCAGTAAATTAGCTAATTTGTTAGTATTTTTATCTCCCTTCACTGCCATGCACCCCTGCTAGGCAGGGGTCAGCCTGATACTGACTAGAGGTCAGATCATTTGCCACCGTGATCATGGACCTGGTGAGGGGAGGTGCCAGGATCCAAATCCAGGTGTCAGCACAGAACTCCCTGCCCGATACAAACTTGATCTCTAGCATCCTACAGCTTCAGAGCTGGGAGGGGCTCGTCCCACCTCTTGGGCCTTCTTTGACCAGACAGGGAAACCGAGGCCCAGGGTGGGGAGGAAACTTAAGAGGCACAGTTGAGTTCATCCAGCTCTGCTGCCTGGGGTGTGGACTTGGCTCTGTCCTCACCTTCCCTCCTCTCCATTCAGTGAGATTAAAGCGTCCTCAGTCCCACACTGGCACCTGGGTCTCGGTGGGGGTGGTGAAGGGACACTGAGCAGTGGAAGATCCAGTCCTGACCCCACTGACACAGGAAGTGAGCTAAGGCAGGTGGGCTGGGGCCAGTTCACATCAGGTAGGGCTGCCTCCACACTTACCGGCACACGATTACACCCTGCCCCCGGCTCGTATGCTTGTCAGGAGGTTCCCCAGAGAGGAGGTTCCCCAGAGGCCTTGGGGGCGGGGTACCTTTCCCTAAGCTCACAAAGGCAGCCTCTGGTTTAGCAGCAGCCCTGACCAGAGCAGACAGTGACGGCTCCAGGAGTTGCGTGGGGACAAGGGGTGGGGAGAGGACAAGGGGCGGGCAGGAGAGTCAGAAAGGGTCCCTGAGTCAGGAGGAGTCAGGCTCTGTTGCTGTAATAAACGACCCCCAAGTCCCTGGCCTGTCACAACAGAGGTGTAGTTCCTACTCATACAAAGTAGGTTGTGGGTTTGGGGGTCCCTCCCCTCCACACAGAGACTCAGGGCCAAGCTCTTCCTATCTCCCCGCCCCATCACCCCAACACAAGGCACATGCAGCCATCAGGCAGAGAACACGCTGACAGTCTCGTGTCGGCCGAGCAGTCTTTGGCGTGGAATCGACATTTGTCATTTCTGGTCACCGCCTGTCAGCAGAACTGGCCGGCGGGCCTCCTAGCCCCAGGGGCTGGCCGGGGTGAACGAGCTCATGGGCTTTGGGCAGGAAGCACCTGTGCTCTTTTGCTCTCCTCCCACTTTTCCCAAAGCGAGAGCTGGGGTCAGACTCAGGAGGAAGCCATTGCCCCCCTGCCTTATTCCAGAGGAGACCCCCAACTCTTCCAGTCCTTCCCACCTGCGACACCATCTCTCTGCAGATTCGTGTTCCTTGTGCTGGTGCACTTTGACCTGGAGCTGATCAACCCAGACGCGGAGATCCCCGAGTTTGACCTCAGCAGGTACGGCTTTGGGCTGATGCAGCCGGAACACGACGTGCCTGTCCGTTACCGCGTCCGGCCATGAGCTCTGCCGTGCACTTGCCTCCACGCAGCCTGCCCGCCCCCCCCCCCCCCCCCCCGTCACTCGGCTTTCTGTGTCTGCATTTCCCCTGGGTGCAGGAGCTTTGAACACTCAACGGTGCCCGCATGACCACTTTCCTGATTCTTCCTTGGAAGGCTATGTCCAGGGGAGGGGAACGAAGGGAAGCTGAGGGGGTGAATGGAAAAGGGACACCAGAAGCTCTGTGAATGGTCTGCTCTTCTGGTCGAGTTTCAAAAGGAGTCTCTTTCTCTCCCGACTCACCTTGCCCTGCCCCCCACCTCATGATATCCACAAAAGCTGGGACCCACAGGGCAGAAGCAGAGGAGTCTTGACTGGTCTGCCATGCCCCCGCTCCCCAAGGGGCCAGGTCCTCGACAGTGATGTGGTCCAGGCCTTAGCCTGTCAAAGCAGATGCTGGCCATAAAAAGGCCCATCAGGGCCTAGCCATGTGTCCATTGATACAGGCTCTGTCCCCAAATTACCATTAAACTAGCCTAAGCCAAAGGAGTCCCTTAATTGTCTGCTTACCCACGGGCCCCATTTGCCACACTTGCCTTATCTCTCCATTCACACCAATGCTTGAGAAAATTCAGGAAGGTTTTCCCAAAGGTGAATATTCAAGGCATAAAACATGCGCTCCTCCCAAAGACTGGGCTCTGTGCTCTGTCCTAGACGTATGGGCTCCAGATGGGAGAGCTTTCCCAGTGTCCAGACTCCAGTAGGGAATGAGAAAGACAGCCCCAGCAGGCTGGCCCCGTTGGAAGGAACCAGCCAGGGCTCCCTGGGCTGGTGGAGCCAGAAAAGGAGGTGTTGGTTTGCTACACCCTAGCCTGGAACCACCAGCTGCTGCACGCTCCAGTGGCAGACCTGTTTTGTGTGGCCCAGACTTCGAAAAAATACATTAGCTGTTACCGTGTCCTCTTTGGGAGAGTCTGTTTAAAATGTCCAGCTTCCCTTGAAAACGTGGACAGCCTGGCCACACTGGGCCCATATTCCCAAGGGCGGCTATTGGCCAGAGCTGAGATACAGCCACCTCCCTTATCCAGGGCACGTGCATTCTGGCTCGCTAGGGTTTCCACTTGGTGGAGATTTTTCTGCTTTTCCATTCCCAGTACCCCCAGGCCCTTGAAGGCACTCCAGTTTGGGAACCCTCTTCTAACTCTTAGAAGTGATACTGTAGGAGGTGGTAACAACCTACTAATTGGTCCTCAGACCCATGGTCCACCTGTCCTGGGTGCACCCCCCTTCGTACAAACAGATCAAGGATGAAAACTTGCTTTTGCGTCAGCTTTGTGGTCGGGGGGTGGGGGGACAGATCAAAGAGAAAAACTGCCTGGAAACCTTTCTTGTGATGTTAAGTATTATGATTAACATTAGGTCCTGTTTACTGAGGACCCTCTAAATGCCTGTGACAGGTGCAGTAGATGCGGTATTCCTACTTCTTACAGCATCTCTGTGAAGAGAGGACGGTTCTGCCTTCTTTATGGATGAGGAGGGGCGCTCAGGGAGGTGCCGTGACTTGGTAGGATTTGGCAGAATTCGTGTCCCAGTAGCAAATGCTGGGTGGGTAGCTCTGTGTTCCTTGGGCTCCGGGCGGGTGGTGGAGGGGCAGTCCTGTTTAGCATCGCCCAAGACACAGACACACACATACATGTACGCACAGCTCAGTCCCCGTAGCTCTGGCTAGAGGGAGGAGAGGACCTGAGGCCTCCAAACGTTCCAGGGGCTTGGGGGCTTCCCTGGCCCTCAGCCTCCAGGCACCCCCAGGATTCCCAGACAGACACTGTGATTGGCAGGAGGCAGGATATCCCCAGGGAAACCCATCTTCACGCCTGGGTGACCCCTGCTGCCACCTGCTTCTTAACTCCGCAGGAAATCAGGGTTGGCAGCCTTCTGTGGGAGGACGGTGCCGGTTTCCATGGCAACTGTAGCTGCCTCCTCCTGGCTTGGAAGGGAAGGAAGAAGGCTGGCAGAAGTAGCTGCAGGAAGATCTCTCGTGCAGGGCTGCACCCTGGTGCGCTGGGGAAAAGCCCCGCTGACGCCCCACAGATCAGGGCTGCGTGGTCCCCGGGACTAGATTCTCACCCATGTCCCCAAAAGGCTAATTGCTTTTAAAGGTGGCAGCTCCTTGGAGCCACAGTCATTAGGAAGAGATGGGTCTCCCACCAGGTAGCCCCAGCTGGCACCAGAGATATTGGAGTAGAGCTTGAGAGGTGACGCTTGAAATCCTCCTTTGTTTTCATCTTTATTCTTTTCCCCCTTTTTCCCATTCTTTAAAAAGAAATCAAGGGGCGCCTGGGTGGCGCAGTCGGTTAAGCGTCCGACTTCAGCCAGGTCCCGATCTCGCGAGATCTCGCGTGATCTCGCGTGAGTTCGAGCCCCGCGTCGGGCTCTGGGCTGACGGCTCAGAGCCTGGAGCCTGTTTCAGATTCTGTGTCTCCCTCTCTCTCTGCCCCTCCCCCGTTCATGCTCTGTCTCTCTCTGTCCCAAAAATAAATAAACGTTGAAAAAAAAATTTAAAAAAAAGAAATCAATGTAAACGTAAGTTACAGTGAAAAGAGGGAAAGGGGAGTGTGTTCCTCCTTGCCACGGGTCAGTTAGGAAGGTACCCGGACGTCGTTGTATTTCTTCGTATTTTGCTTTAGAATCACAAACTTGCAGGACACATGCTGGAAATGCTCTTAGGTTGGGGCACCTGGGTGGCTCAGTCGGTTAAGTGTCCGACTTCGGCTCGGGTCATGATCTCGCGCGTCGTGGGTTCAAGCCCCGCATCAGTGCAGAGCCAGCTCTGGATCCTCTGTCCCCCCTCGCTCTCTGCCCCTCCCCAACTCACACACGCTCCCTTTCCCTCTCTTCTTTCAAAATAAATAAACATTTTTTTTAAACGCTCTTAGGTTGACCTAATGAAGTGTTTCCCTCCCATTGTCTCTTTTTTTTTTTTTTTTTTTTTTGCTATATTTTGTATTGCTGTTTACCGGATATTCTCCTTGAAACAGACTCATTTTTTACACTTAAATTTGCTTAAAAGGGAACGTTATTCCATCACTGCCAGTAACGGACAACATGTATCTCTCACTGCCAAAAATAGAAAGTGGCTGTGAAATATAAATTTGCCGGGGTGGGAGGGCCTCCGTGCCGTGTCGCCAAGGCTCAGAGCCCGAGGTCTGTCTCTTCTCTGTTACAAAATGAGACAAGGAGGCGGTCCAGGGGTGTTACAGCCAGGCTGGCATCACCCGATGCTTTCTCCTTGACAGTCACAGGTGAAGGGGGCAGAGGGTGTGTGTCTGAGCCCAGGGTCGTCTTCTGCCACCAGCCAGCCCTGCTCGCAGTGAGCTGGGGACGTCCCACCCGTTTGTTTTTGTTTTTTGATAACACCGTGTTTCGGGAGTAGCCGTGATTATTATGCCTTGCTGTTGTAATAAAGAGTTCTATTTTCATATAATATTGTTGAACAGAAATGTGCTGAAATGTATTAAATCATCCTTGTTTGTCGAACTGCCTCAGCGTGATTTAGGTGGAGCGTCGGCCGTGTCCGGAATGGCAAGGTTGGTTTCTGGGAAGAGAGAACAGAGCACCTACTGGGTGCCAGCTTTGGGACAGGGCCTTTAGAATCCAGCCGTACCTCCAGCTGCCCTGCATATATTATTATCTCCGTTTTTGTAGATGAAAAAACTGGCTGTTGGAGAGGTGAAGGGGCTTGCCACATGGCTGATTAGTAGCCGCAAGAGTTGAGCATAGGCCTCTCTGCCTCCTGAGACCGTCCGTGTTCAGGATCCCTCTATCAGCAATCCTTCCGATGGCAGGAAATGGGGGCTCACAACCCAAAGTAAGACAAGCAGAAAAAAATCTCTTAAAAATTCACTGGAGGTTCTCTCTCCTTCACCATAATCTATGCACTTGTCTTAATATAATAAAGAAGAGGGGAAATGAATTAGATCTGGGAAAGATAAAAAAGAGAAGATTGGTTTTTTTCCCTCTCAAATCTTTGAGTAAACAATAATTTCTGGAGGCAAATGTCCCTCACATCGGGTTCCTCATCCTCGAGGGGGAATGGAGGCAGGCTCGGTGGGATTGAACTTGGCTCCGATAGACCTCTCAAGTAAGACAGCAACACTTTGCACATAAAATGTTTACATTCAACACAGACGTTTCTCTCCCTTGCACACAGATATGGGACCCCAGCGGTGGAGGCGCAGCTGCGCCATCACCAGGCCCTTGTGGTCACTCCGTCATCTGCGTGTGTGGGGAAGAGGGTGCCAAGTGGGGGGAGAAGGTGGGGGGCTATCCGCTTGCCCTGGGACCTCCCCGAGGACCCCAGTGTGGCCTGCGTGGCCTGGGAAAGACAAGGCAGGTGTTCCTACATTAGGCAAACCTGAGAAGGGAGCCCTTGGGGCATCTGGATCCTTGTGCAGAATGGGCTGTCTGTATGACTTTATTTCAGGGGTTCTGCGGGCTGACCACTGGTGGAGAAATACTGATGGGTTGGCCAAGGGGCAAACCCCAAATATCCCTGTGAAAGAACCCTGGTTTCCTTCACATATCAGGGAGCCATGTGCTCAGAGAAGATAGGTCCAACCTCCAAATCAAGACCTGGAGCTGAGCCAAATACAGGTATCAGGCCCCTCTAGTCAGTGATTGGGCTAGCAGTTGTCATGTGACCCAGTACAGGCCAATGAGATGATCAGGAAAGTCTGTGGAGAGCTTCAGAAGTGTGGGAGAAGTTCCTCCTTCCTCCTTCTCTCGGGGTGGTCATGCCATGGCCATGGCAGCCATTGTGTGATCATGAAGATAAGAGAATCTCGGAGAAAACCAAGAATCCTGAGGTCTCTGAGCTGCTGCTGTGACAGACCCTCACATCACCTACTCCTGGATTTTGTGTTCAATGGGATAATCAAGGTCATCATTGTTCAGGTTCTACTTAGGGACCTCATACCATAGTGGTTAAGAGCACAGGCTCTGCCTGGGTGGGAATCTCTGCTGAGCCACCTCATATCAGGGTGATTTGGGTCATGTCTCTGTGGTCCAGGTTCTTCACCTGTCAAATAGGGATGAAGGACAATGACATAGGGTTTTGTGAGCATCAGATGAGGTAATATCGTCATTCACAGCCCGTGGAAGAGACAGGAGAAATGAGTATCCTAAGTTAGCCTCACAATAGAGTTTCCCAGAGGAAAGAAACTAATCCGGATCATGAGGAGGCAGGGAACGGGACACTGGATCTGGACTTTGGAAGGTGACTAGGAGCCCGCCATGTGGGAAAAACGATGCTTGGAGTTGGGGAACCATTCCAAGCAACAGAAACAGTGTAACAAAGGCCCTGTGTATATCAGTTTTCTGTTGCTGTTTAACAACCCCAAAATGTAGCGATTTAAAATGAAACTGTTGGGGCGCCTGGGTGGCGCAGTCGGTTAAGCGTCCGACTTCAGCCAGGTCACGATCTCGCGGTCCGTGAGTTCCAGCCCCGCGTCAGGCTCTGGGCTGATGGCTCGGAGCCTGGAGCCTGTTTCCGATTCTGTGTCTCCCTCTCTCTCTGCCCCTTCCCCATTCATGCTCTGTCTCTCTCTGTCCCAAAAATAAATAAAAACGTTGAAAAAAAATTTTTTTAAATGAAACTGTTGTAGGGCCACCTGGCTGGCTCAGTCGGAAGAACATGTGACTCTTGATCTCAGGGTTATGAGTTCGAGCCCCACATCTGGTGTAGAGATTACCAAAGAAATTAAATAAAACATACAAAATAAATAAACAAACTTTAAAAAATGAAATTGTTTTATTATTTCTCATGGTTTTATGGCTGAGTGGGGCTTAGCTGGATGGTTCTTCTGCTGGTCTCACTTGGGATCTCACAAGTAACTGTAGTCAGATGCAGGTAACATCTGTAACATCTCAGATGGTGACTTGGCAGGGACACTTGACAGGCTGTGCTCAGCTGAGATGTTGAGGTAGCTGAGTCACTGTCTCTTCTTATGTAGTTTCAGGGCTTCTCACTCTCCACGTGGCCTCTCCAGCAGGGAATCGGGGCATGTGTATCAGAGCTCTCAAAGGCACAGAAGTACGTGCTGTCAGACCTTCTTTAGGGCTTAAGTTTGGAAATGGCATCACTTCTGTCATGTTCTGCTGGTAAATATGAGTCACAAGGCCAAGCCCATAGTCAATGTGGATTGGAACTGGGCAAGGTGTGCCTACCAAGAGGCAGGCTCATGGGGGGCCATCTTTGGGAAGCAGCTACTACTGGGCCAAAAGTTGGAAAGTCTTTGCTTGCAACGTGGGGATGTAGTGGTGGGTGATGAAGCTGGAAAAGCAGACAGGGCAAGGGTCAAATGCAAGTTTCCATGCCCTGCAATCCCAAGTTGGTGGGGGGGGGGGGGGGAGAAGCACCCCATCTTTGTGAGAAGGAAATACCACAATTCTGGCAACTGTCTCCCCAAACCCAAAATGCCATCAGTTGTCTCCCCATCTCCATGGAGGGGGATGATGGTTAGGGGCCATCTAGGACCCACCGTGTGTCAGAGGGGCCAGCACTCTCCCTCCCTCTGCCACAGCAGAAATTGAGATCTCAATTTCTTTAAAAAGTCTTTAAAAAAACAGTCTTTTACATCCTAAAGGTAAAAATCAAATCAGCTACTCCCTGCTTAAAACTTTTTAACACTCGTGACATAAAATCCAAATACCTCCCCACAGCCCTCGCCTACATGATTTTTCTCATTCTGTTTTTCTCTCCTACTTCATCTTGGACCACTCTTGCCCTCACCAACTCTGCTCTGACCACATCCACCATCTCACATCTCCTTCAACCCTCCCTCCTGCCCCAGGGCCTTTGTATCTGCTCTCCCTTCTACCTTTAGCTTGGAATGCCCTTCCCCCTGCTTTTTTATGGCTTACTGATTACTCTGATTTACCGCCCATCTGCAACATCACCACCCCCTCCTTCCCATTTTCATACTTTTTGCATTTCCTGCTCGGCAATTATCAGTGTTAGATTATTTTTAAATGTCTCTATGTCTCCCATTTGAATGTGAGCTCCAGGAAGGTGGGTTGGCTTCACTGCTCCTGCATTTCCTGCATGCAACACATAAGCTCAACACATAGTAGGTGCTCGGAAAATATGCACTAAGTGAACAAATGGCCTTTTCCTCATTGTGGGAGAGTTTGTCCTTTACCTTGGACGTTGAAGAGTCATGAAGGTTTATAAACAGGGGAGTGACATGGTCAGACTTCTGCCTTTAAAGGTCCACCCTGGTAGCTGGGGAGAGGTTGGGTTAGAGGAAGGATGCACCTAGGGGAGGAAAATCGGAGAGGAGGGAGACAAGACCGGGAAGGGGGGGCAAGGGCAGTGGAAAGCAGGTAAGAGACCTCAGTCCCCAAGGGCAGGGGATCTGGATGTCAAAGAAACGTTATCTTACAAGAATCAGTTCATTAGCTCTTGATCTCTGTAGCTTTGATTTCCTCCTTTTGCTGACTTGCTCCTTTTCTATCACATCTTGGAGTTCCCAGGCTATCTGCGGGAAAGAGATATTAGTTTACCTTTAATTGCTTTGCTGGAAGCCCGTGCCTCAGTCCATCCATGCCCTGTATTTCATCATTGTTTGGCCACAGACCCTGGGAGACTGGCTTTGGCAAAGTCCGGGCCACAAAGGGGTTCAATGGACTATGTGCAGCTTTGCCTATCTCCCTCTGTGTGGTCCTCTGGGGGCACCCATACTTCCTCCCAGAGAGGGAGCCAGGGCTTAGCAGAGAGCATTACATGTAATAAACACTTTAAAATGTTAGGTAGTAGATGAGTGGGGATGGCCGAGTGAGTGGGTGGGTGGGTGGATGGAGGACGGATGGATATTTGGACCGGATGATCATGTTGGGGGGATGAATGAGTGAATGAGTAGGTAGATAGGTGCATGAGTGGGTGTATGGATAGGTGGATGTGTGAGTAGGTGGGTAAGTAATTGGGTATATGGGTAGATGGGTGGGTGGGTGGGTGGATGGGTAAGTAAATGAACAGTTAGATGGTTGGATAAATGGTCGGTGGGTGAATGAATGGGTGGAAAGATGGGTAGTGAATGGAACATGTGAATGAATAGAAACAAAGATGGATGTGTGAGAGTATGAGTACATGGATTGATAGATGAGTGGGTAGATAAATGGTTCAGTGTGTAGTTGGATAGTCTGGTGGCTGTATGGTTGGATAGTATATGGATGGTTGAATGAATGGTTGAGTTGATGGGTAGGTGGTAGGCAAAAGATGGAAGGAGAATGGGTAAATGTTTGGGTTGGTAAGAAATCCAGACTCGCCCATTTACCAGGAACCTGGGCCAGGAACCCCAGGGCTTGATAAAGGCTATCAGGCTAGCATAGAATGGGCACTAGAATCAGACATCTGGTCGCTCAAGGGTCATCCAACAGCTAATAGGTATTTATATTAGAATATTCAGCCAAAGGGTGAGAGAGCCAGAAAGACTCTTAAGTGAGGTTAGATACATGCAAAGCATTTAGTACAATGCCTGGTACATAGTAACAGCTCAATGTTAGCTGCTATTCTACAGTTGTTGGTACTACTGTTACATGAATGTGTACTTCTTAGTGTTAATCGTGGTGCTAAGCACTTCATATGCATTATCTCATTTGTCCCCCCAGCAACTCCGAGAGGTAGATGCTATCATTAGCCCCATTTTACTCATGATTATGATTATGATTATTATTATTGGGTGTGACAAAAGAGAAACAGGCAAGAAGACTGGAGTTCAAGCTGGTGGAATATTCCCTGGGGCTGCTGGGAGTTTGGGCAAGCCACAGCAAAGAGCAGTTGTCTTGAGTGACATCTACTCAGAGATGTCAATGATTTCCCTTGAGCCTTTGGGTGCCCCCATAACTACCCTCATAGAGCAATTATTCCTTCCCAGGGGTCTGTGGGGGAGAGGGGAAAGGGGATTAATTAGTCATGCTCAGTGCCCAGAAGTGCCAAGAAAACGGAGGACACTCCGTGGGGTTATAAATAAGTGATGGCTGTTATTATGGAGGTTAAGAAGGAAAAACTGGCTTCGAGTGGATAGATCACTTGCTGCCACAGTTTAGAGGGGGTTCACCTGTATTTACAGTGACGAATTGGGCTGATTTGATGTCGTTCAGCCTCAGGTAAAAATCTCAACACATTTTAGCAGGAAGTCTGCCAAGAGGCCATGAGCAGATAGGGTTTGTGCCTTGCTGCTGGTACTCAGCTGTCCGCTCTCTGGTTTGACCTTTGGGATGCTGTTCCCCTTGTGGGCTTTGTCTCTTTCCCATCTGTAAAATGACCTGAACTCTTACGGGGGGACCCCTTCTCTATAAAACATTTTGAATTTTATTGTTCTTTTTGCCCCGGGTCCTGTGAGTTCATTTTCTTTTCTCCTGTTTCTTATAAGTACATTCTAAGGAGATGGTAAACTTTGGGTTTGTGGAGAAAGAATTGTATCAGGTTGGCTCTTTGGGACATAAAGGAAAATATCATAACTTAATCTGGCTTAGGAAAAAAAGGGAGTATTTACTAGCTCACACAGCTGGAAAAATCCGGGGTATTACCTTCAGGCACATCTGGATCCAGAAGTTCTAATGCTATTGTCAGGACTAGTATCTCAATCTCTGGGTCTACTTTCCCCTGAATTGGCTTTATTTCTAGGTAGTCTCTCTTCTTATGATGGCAGAAAATTCTAGGAAATGAAGGCCAGATGTTTCCAAATAGTTACAGTCTTCATTCAGAAAATAAAAATGCTAAACTGGGTACAGTGCAGAGCCTGGGGAAACAGAGAGAGACTAGACCTATTCCACTGTCTGCACTTCCAAGATCCAGGCGTGGGTCTAGATGTTCTTTATCTAAATCCGGAACCAAACTTTGCAGGAATTGGGCCACCCAGAGGGAAGAATCTAGAAGTAGCCTTGGGCTTGGGGAAGAATCTCCCCCGGCAGAACCCTGTGGCTGTGAAATTACCTAGCCACCTTCACCACCATCATCCCAGCCCAAGCCCATCACCTCTGGCCTGGACAATTGCAGATGTCTCACAAGGAGTCTTCCTGCTACCTTTGTCCCCCAACCCTTCATAATGCAGCTGGAAGAATCAGTTCAAAAAATATATCAGCACATGGGACTTCCCTGCTTAAAACTCTTATCATGGCTTCCCATCGGGATTAGGAAAAACTCAAACTCATTCCTTGAACTTGAGGGTAAAATCCCAACAAGGCTCTGCATGACCTAGTCCCGTCCACCTCTCTAACCTCCCTTCCCAAGGTCATTTCCTCCTTAGGGCCTTTGCTCTCTTTGGCTCCCCTGCCTGTCCCCCCTTCCTCGGAACTTCACATGGTTGTCTCATCCCTGACCTCAGGTTCTCACCTTAGATATATCACCTCCTCTGGGAAGTCTTCCTTGACGGTCCAACCACTCTATCTAAAGTTGCTGGCACCTCTCTCAGACATGCTCTATCACTTCCACTTGTGTACTTTTCTTCATGGTATTTATTACAATCCAAGTGATCTGGTTTCTTTATTTAGCTTGTTTATTAACTGTATTCCCCACCAGAATATAAGTCCATGAACACAGGGTCTGCCCGTTTTATCCTTCTCACTGTATCTCCAGTGTCTCGAGTAGCGTTTGGCATATAGTAGATGCTCACTAATTATTGGTTGAGAGAATAGCGTTTCCAGACCAGCGAATACCTTTGCCTTCTGCTAAATTAATCTAGGGTTTCTCAGCCTTGCCACTATTGACATTTAGAGCTAGAAAATTATCTGTTGTGGCTGTCCGTCCATCCTATGCACCTGGAGGATGTTTCTCAGCATCCCTGGCCTCTACGCACAAAATGATGACACCTTGGACAAGGCTCATGATGATGGAGGTGATGAGAAGTAAACAAATTTTAAAAATATAGTAATATTATGCACAACACTATGGAAACGAATCCCTTCGTTTAAGAAATGAAGGGAAGAGCCAGAGAGGGGAAGTGGCCCTATGGCTTTAGTCAGTTTTTGTCTTTTAGGGAAGCTTTGCTCATCTCTTCAGGTAAATCCTTCGGTCCTACATTCATTTCTGGAGATTATTTGATGGATTCTGTCTCCTCCACTGGACGGGAGATCCAAGGGAGGATGCTTCCTTTGCTGAGCCTGGCACAGGGCCAGGCACACAGGACGTTCTCAAAAACCAGATGCCCAAGGTAACATGAATAAATGAATGAATCACCAGGCTATATAAATCAGCTGACCCCTCACTCTCTCTTCCTCTCACCCTACTTTATTTTTCACCTTAGTGATTATCACCAGCTGCCACATTGCATATTTATTTGTTGATGTATTTCATTGTCCGTCTTCCTCCACTGGAACCCAGAATTCCATTCTGGAATTAGATTTTAGCAACTAGCATGGAAGCTCATGAAAGCAAGGGCTATTTAAAATTGCAATCTGCCCCCACCCCACCCCTGCCTCTATCCCTCTCCTCTGCTTCCTTACCCTCTCAGCGCTTATCACTGCCTGACATATTACTACTTGGCTTTCTTGTTTTTCACCTGTCTCCAGCCAGTTCTACCAGGGCCGAACGTTTGTGTTTGGTTCACAGCTGTTTCTCAGACGTTGATCCTAGTGCCTAGCACATAGAAGGCACGCACCCCCACGTTGTTGACCTGACAAAGGATGGAGGGATTGCGACTCAGCCAGGGAAGGCAGCCCAGGTGGGAAGGGCTGGACCGCCAGGTGCGTCTCCTTCGCCCAAAGCCCCAGCCCGCCCCCAGCTTCACCTGGAGGCTGGGCCGGGCAGGCAGGAGTTAAGCGGTGCTCACGCTTCCGACCCGCAGGTGGCGCCGTCCCGCCTCTGTGCCAGACCCCGGGCGCTCCGAAGTGCAGGACAGAATCGCAGCCAGCGCGGAGCCGAAGCTCAGCGCCGACTTGTTGATCTCGCTCAAGCAGCAGCAGCCGCCGCCGCCGCCGCCGCCGCGGGAGCAGGAGCAGGAGCAGGAGCAGGAGGAGGTGGAGCAGGAGGCGCCGCCCGACCGCGGACCTGCCACCCGCGCACCCAGCGTTCGCCCGCGCCCCCAACCTCGGAGAGGGCGCCCGGCCCCGCGGCGCCTGCAGCCCTAGCGCGTTGCC